ATTCCCTTCATGTATGGGTTTGCCTAAAGAGCTAATGAGAACCTTTCTAACTTTCACATTCTGTGACTCTGGGAAAATGATAACTGACACATATCAAGGGACGCATAGGGGAAGGAGCACTGCCTCTGGAGACATAGGATCCAGATTTAAATCCTGCCTCTGATTCTGATTATCTGTATGACCTGGGGAAAGCCATTTTAGCAACCTGGACTGCAGTTTCCTAATTTGTAAAAAGAAGAGCTGGGTGGGTTAGATGTCATCTGAGGTCCTTTCCAGCTGTATGCTTTACAGAGGTTTTCATTTTCTCTTCATAACAGTCACGTGAAGCAGTAGCAGAGCGCTGCATTTCAAACAAATAAACTAGACCAGCAATGATTTATTAAGTGCCTACTAAGTGCTACTCACTCGGTATACAAGCTCAAAAAAAAAAAATGAAACAGTCCCTACCTTCACTGAGGCCATTGTTGGGCAGTTGTCTTGACCATTGAACACACAAAAGGTAAAATCATCTCCCACACACCCTCAGTGTACGAAGGTGGGAAGAAAACATAGCTGAGAACAGCCCTTTCGGAGCCCTGGTTCTCAGCCTTCTGGGGTTCTCCTTATTATACTAAGAGGTTGTGTAGGATGTAAATAAAATAGTACTAAAAATATGTCCAAGAACACTGGGGATAAACAGTGGCCAGATCACAGTCTAAGGGCTCTGTGCTTCTCTGCACTGTCACATGGAGCCCTTGAAGCCAACGTGAATGCCAAAATAGCCAACATTAAGAACTGCGTCAGGGCTGCAATGCAAAGTACTGCTATATTCTGTGAAAGACCCAAAATAGCATCATTGAGAAACAGATGAATATTAACATCTGTCAACTCTTCAACAAAATCAATAGAATGTGTCAAGGACACACTGACTGGTGGATTCTGGTCAAAACAGTTACCCACAGTTACGATTCATTTGTGAATGGTAGATTGATAAGCATCTATCACAATGGAGAAATGAGAGGCAGTGTGAAATGTGGATATAATACTGAATTTGGAGTCAAGAAGACCTGAGTTCATTCACTTACTAAATGCAGGATCTTGGGTGAGCAGCTAGTGGATAGTATGGGACACTGTTGGATTGAGTCAAGAAATCCTGAGTTCAAATTCAGCCTCAGACACTTCTTAGCTGAGTGACCCTGGGCAATTTAACATCTGTCTGTCTCCCCAACTTTAAAATAGGGATAATAATAGCATCTACCTCGTAGGTTTGTTGTAAAAATCAAATAAGTTGTGTATCAAGTGCTTTGCAAACCTTAAAGCATTATATGAATGCTATAGCTATTACTATAATTATTTTTATTAAAATGGGGATGATAATAGTACCTACTCCCTAGGACTCTAGTGAGGAGCAAATCAGATAATATTTGTACAGCACTTTGCAAACCTTAAATCTGTATATAAATGCTATTATAATTATTGCTTAATTTTGGGGCCTCAGTTTCCCCTCTGAAAAATGAAAATAGTAGCACCCCACAGAGTTATTGTGAGGCTCAGTGTAGATAATGTGTATTAAGCTATTTTCAGTCCATAAAGCCCTATACAAATACGTACAAGTTAACCAAAATGAGCAAATAAATACAAACAGAGTTATGGATTTAGGAGGGCCTTCAGAGACCCTTTAATCCAACTCCCTCATTTTACAGTTGAGGAAAACCGGAGTCTAGGGATGTCAAATGACTTGCCCAGGGTCACTATGATGTAGTATGCATCATAGGTGAGTCCCCTGCCTCCAGAGCCAGAGCTTTTTCCTCTATACCCTACTACCTTAAATGAGGAAAGATGAAAGATGACAAACACTTTGGAAACACTAGTTATTATGATAGCTTTTCATATCTTCCCCCTCAATTCTTCTTTCTTTCAGCTAAATGCACCCAGTTCCTTTCATTTCTTCTCCTGTCACATTGTCTTCAGCCCACCTGCTACTCTGGACATGCTCAGATGTTCAGCATCCCTCCTGCACACACCTTTAAACTTTTTTTTTTAATTTATAGAATAAAACAGGCATTTCCATAACATAGTACAATAGAAACAGATGGTTGCATGTGAAACTGGCACAACTTGCTATTCCTTTCAAATATACAACGAAATTTTCATGTAAATTTCCTTTCGTTCTTCCTTCTCCACCCCTTCCCTAAAGATGGCTATCATCAGACATAAGAGGACCTGGGTTCAAATCCTACCTCTACCACTTACTATCTATGTGACTCCAGATAAGTCACTTCATCTCTCTGTGCCTCAGTTTCCGCATGTGTAAATAGGTATACATAGATGTAAAATTATTCCATACATACTTTTATTTATCAGTTCTTCCTCTAGATGCAGACAGTGTCTTTCTTCATATGTCCTTTGTGGCTAATTTGGGTATTTATAATAGTCAAAATGACTTATTCACTGAAAGTCATTCTTAAAACAATTGCTATTACTGTGTACAATGTTCTCTTGGTTCTGCTCATTTTGCTCTTCATTACTTTGTGGAAGTCTTCCCATGTTTTTCTAAGATCATTGAGCTCATCATTTCTTTTTTTTTTTTTTTTTTGGTGAGGCAATCAGGGTTAAGTGACTTGCTCAGGGTCACACAGCTAGTAAGTGTCAAGTATCTGAAGGCAGATTTGAACTTAGGTCCCCCTGACTCCAAGGCCAGAGCTCTATCCGCTTCGCCACCTAGCTGCCCCTGAGCTCATCATTTCTTAAAGCACAGTAATATTCCATCACAATCTTACACCACAACTTGTTCAGCCATTTCCCAATCAATGGGCATCCTTAGACTTTAAGGGCTGTGGAGAAGTCAGTCAATCATTCTCCACAGCACTTCCTTTGAAATCACTGAGAGGCACATAGTAGGCCCTGTTCAGACCATAGCTCTCCAAATGTGTTCAGTTCAGGGCACCAGCAGGGTAGGGGACACCGAGTCCAGAGGAGGGCTGAGAAAATGGTGAATAGACTAAAAAATCATGTTTCATTAAAACGAATGAAGGAACTAGGCTTGTTTGGCTGAGAGAAGGGAAGACTCATGGAGGACCTGAAGGGAGAGTCATGGTACTGCTGCACAAAGGTTGTTGCATTTGAAGTCAAAGGACCGGGAGGGAACCTGAGTCTGTTACTGTGTTTGTCTGATGACAGACAGATAGTGTTTGTCGTCTTTACGAGATCTTGGGCAAATCAGTTAACAAGTGCTTCATGTATCAAATAGGGTATGATAATTGTGATTTTTAAAATTTGTTGTTTGCTGTTATAGTTATAAGTGATAGGAATCACTTGGGCTAAGGGGTCCTAAGGTCCATAAACGCATAAGCAATAATAACTTGTACTCTCCTACTGTCTCAACTCATGCTGATTATGTGTCAAACTTGTAAATGATTGTGCTCCTGGGGCTCTAATTGTAGTGACCACAATTCCAAAGGGGACAGGTAGGTGGCACAGTGGATACAGCACTGTTTGGAATTAGGATGGCATCTTCCTGAGTTCAAATCTAACCTCAGACACTAGCCACGTGACCCTGGGCAAGCCACTTAACCCTGTTTGCCTCAGTTTGCTCATCTGTAAAATGAACTGGAAAAGGAAATGGCAAACCACTCCAGTATCTTTGCCAAGAAAATCCCAAATGGAGTCATGAAGAGTCAGACATAAATAAACAACAACAATAGAACAGATCATTTAAAATTAGAAAGGTTAACTGATTTCCCTGGAAGTCATATAGTTAACAGAATTAGGACTCAAACTTGAGTGTCCATATTGTAAAGCCAGGGCTCTTTGAGAGGGAGTAGATATAGGTAGTGAAGTGTAAAGCTGGGGGGCCTGGATTCAACAAGACCTGAGTTTTAACCTGGTCTTAGACACTTCTTAGCTGTGTGACCCTGGACAAGACATTTAACCCTGTTTGCCTCAGTTTCCTCATCTGAAAAATGAGAATAATTATAATACATGCTTCCCAGGGTTGCAAAGCTAAAATAAGATATTTGTAAAGCATTTGAAAGGCCATATAAGTGCTACACATTATTATATTTATCATCATTTAATGATGATGACGATGCCTCTAGAGGTCATCATGAGGAGAACTAGGAGGAAATTACAAGGAGTTTGATTTCAGCTCCATATAAGGAAGAATTTCCTAATAAGAAAAGATTTCTAAAAGTGAAATGATTACCTTGACAGAGAGTAAGTTCCCCATCACTGACTATGTCCAAATAGAGGCTAGATAACCACTGTTTGGGATGATGGAGAAGACAGTCATGCTCCAAGTGGAGGCTGTATTACAAAAGACAGCATGGTGTGAGAATAAAACAAACAAAATAAAACTTTCAATGTGAATTCTGAGGACCTACACTAGAATCTCCAGGAGCTCTGCTGTTTACTTGTGAGACTTGGAATAAATCACTTTTCTATCAGGAGCTCTGTTTCGTCATCTGTAAAATGAAAGGATTAGAGCACTGGGTTTGCCATAAGAGGACCTACGTTCAAATCCTACCTCTACCACTTACTACCTGTGTGACTCAGGATAAGTCACTTCATCTCTCTGTGCTTCAGTTTCCTCACATGTAAAACTGGCACATTGAACTGGCTGGTTTACATAGAGGTCCTTTCCACCCCTAAGCATATTATCTAAGATCCTAAGGCACGATAATCTTCATTATTTCTTCTTGTTCTCTGATACTAGGCTAGAGTATATTGTTGTTTTTCCTTATAAGCTAACTTTAAAGGCTCTATGTGTTTCACAAGTAATGAAATCTTGAGAAATTTTAAATGTATGTTTTGGAACAAGTAGGTAAGTAGACTGATAAGAAGCCAAGTATGACCCAGGAGGGGTATGCTGTGGCTTCCAGCCTCTCTACCCCCTGGGGCAGAATAAAGAATGCTTTTCTCAAGCATTCTTCATGTGTCAGAAAATATCCAGGGGAGAAGAGGAATAAGGTCTTGATATTGCTTCACAGCTGTTGAATTCCTGGAAATTGCTTTGTCCCTAGGTTTCACTTTCTGGCGGGAGAACCCAGAGGAGAAGTCCTTGATAATGCTTTCACTGGAGGAAAATGTACGACCGTCAAAAGCAGCAGAACCAGTAACCCTTACCGTGTCCCAGCCAATATAGAAAGCGTCAACTTTGAGGTACAACCACACTGAGGTCTCTCATCTCATGGGCATCCTCAATACTAAACTCTTTTTTTTTTCTTTTTGGTTAGGCAATTGGGGTTAAGTAACTAGCCCGGGGTCACACAGCTAGTAAGTGTCTGGTGACTGAGGCTGGATTTGAACTTAGGTCCTCCTGACTCCAAGGCCAAAGCTCTATCCACTGTGCCACCTAGCTACTTCCATGCTAAACTCTTAAGAGTCCAGTCCACTTTGCAGTGTAGCCTGGGAAGTGAAATCTGGTGTCAGAGTCAGGAAGCCTTAGGGTTAAGAGCGTTGAGGACATTCTCTGGACCAGGCAATGGGTACAACCTTCACACAGGGGCGTGGTTCTATCGACTCAGGCTTCCCAAGACATTTTCACCCCTGTTATAGGGCTAATTCTCTATGTATATTAACACAGCAATGAAAACATGTCCAATACTACCAGTCAGTTGTTCAAGGCTTAAGAGAAATCAAACAATGTAATGAAAACAAGGCAGCGAACTTCTTCATTCTATTTTTTTGGTTGGCTTGTTTTTTTTATAAGAATCCGGTTTTGTAGTAAAAAAAAAAAAATGTTGGTTTTCCTAACTTGGTAATCTCAGCACAATGGGCTCCAAATGTTTTTTGATCATGTACCCCATTAGTAAAAAATATTTCTTAGCAGGAATAGGTATATATTTACTTATTTATGGATGCATGTACTACTATACTAATAATGATATACATCATAAAACACAAAAATAGACATTTCAAAAGGTTGAGATAAAGACAAAATAGTATTTGATCCTGGAGTAATAGAAAGCCATCGAAGTCTATTGAGTAGGGGTTTGACTTAGGCAGATCTGGGCATCAGCAAAAATCCTTTAGGTAGACCTCATTTTCTTCATCTGGAAAATGATGAATGGAAAATGACTCAATGGCCTCTGAGATACCTTCCAACTCTAAAGCTATGACACTAAGAGAAAAGGAAAGGCCTATGTACAAACCAGAATTAACTCATTTTGCTATTAATATAGTTAGACAACTACTCCACCTCATTCAGGTTTAGTAGATGTGAAGGAGCCAAGGCTCACTGGGATGCAACCAGTCCTTCTCAACCATGAGAGAGCATGCGGCATGCAAGACAATTTGATTACTTCTTTTTGGATAGTGTTACTACTGTGGAATGTCAAGAAAATTCAAATCAGTTCAACAAATATTATTAAGCACCTACTGTGTATAGAACTTGGATTTAAGCATCAGATGAAATAACCCTATGTTTGGATAAGAAAAGGTTCATACCCTATAGAGATTTGAATATGTTAAAGTGATTAGTCAATGCCCAAATAACTGTAATGTAAAATAATAAAAGATGATTGCCTAAGAGATGTGCAAACAAAGTGTGATGGGAGATTCCAGGAGATAATACCACTGCTAAATGGGAAAAGTAGAGAAAGTTCCTTGAAAGAAATGATACTTAGTAACTAAAGGAGGAGGAATGCAGTAGACAGAGTACGCATATAGCAAAGCCTTTGACAAAGTCCTTCATGATATCCTTGTCAACAAAAGGGAGAGATGCAGATTAAGGGATCGGGCAGTTAGGCTGATGCAGAGCAGAATGGCTGGATCCAAAGAGTTGATACCAAGGAATCACAGTTTCTAGTGGTGTCTCCCTGGGGTCTGTCTTTGTCGTCTTGCTCTTGAACATTTTTTATCAATAGTTTAGATGCAGGAATCGATGATATGTTATCAGATTTGCAGATGATGTGATGCTATAAGCAATAGCAAGGTACTGAATGACAGTCAGGCTCCCAAGATTAAGCAAAATCTAAGAAGCTGAAATTTAATAGAGATAAATATAAGATCAAAAATCTATCAACTTCACAAATACAAAATGGAAGGGGGAAGAATGACTAGGTCACATGTAAAAGAAATTTGTAGTTTTCGGTAGCCTACACCTGCAGCATGAGTCAACAGTATGACATGGCACCCAATTTTAGGTTCTATTAATAGAGATATAATGGAATGAATAGATGCTTAAGGAAATGAGGGAAATTCAAATATACATCATTGGATTCCAAATCCAGCATCCTAGGGAGTGAGGTGGAACACTGTATTGAGCTCCAGGCCTGCCCTCAGGAAGACCTGAGTTCACATCCAATCTCAGACACTAGGTGTGTGACCCTGGGCAAGTCACTTAACCTCTGTTTGCCTCAGTTTCCTCAACTACAAAATGAGGATAATAGAAGTAGCTACTTCACAGAGCTGTTGTGAGGATTAAAGGAGATCATATTTATGCAGTGTTTAGCCCAGTGCCAGGCACATAGCAGACACTATTTTGCTGTTATGCAGTCATTTCAGCCATCTCCAACTCTTCATGACCCCATTTAGAGTTTTCTTGGCAAAGATACTGGATTGAATTGCCATTTTCTTCTCCAGCTCATTTTACAGATGAGGAAACTGAGGCAAACAGAGTTAAATGACTTTCCCCGGGTCTCACCGCTAGTAAGTGTCTGAGGCAGATTTGAACTCATGAAGATGAGTCTTCCTGACTCCAAGCCCAGCACTTTATTCCCTGTACCACCTAGCTGCCCCTTAGTAGATATTATATAAATTCTTATTCCCTACTTTTCTCCTTCCCCTCTTCCCTTCCATACTGCTTTCCCTTCAAAAGGAAGTCATGGTTTAGTACATAGATTATTGGATTTGCAGTTAGTATCACCTCTGATACTTCCTAGTTGTGTGACCATGAGCAAATCACTTAACTTTTAGGAGTCTTAGTTTCTCCATCTGTAAAATGGCAAGAATAATACCTATAGTACCTACCTGTCAAAACTGTTTTTGTTTTTTGTTTTTTCCCAGACCTCTTATTTCATGGAAATGTACTTGTGTGTGTGGAACCTCCTTCTACTAATATGGATGAGCAAAAGAGACATCCTGTGTCATTTGTCCAAGCTCAGACAGCTAGTATGTTTCAGAGGCAAACCCAGTCTCTCTAACTCTGCCTCCTCGTCTATCCATTGTAACCCACTCCCTCACAGGGTTCTTGTAAGAATCAAATGAGATAATACATATAAGGTGCTTTGCAAACCTTAAAGTGCCTTATAAATGTCGATTATTATCATTGTAATTATCATGGAATATAGAAGTTGTTTGATAGTATTTGAAAGGTTGTCATATAGAAAAGAGGTTGGACATCTGCTTGCCTCCAAAAGCCAGAACTAAGCAATAAATCAGAACTTACAGAGAAGCAGATTCAGTGCCTCTATCAAAAAAAAATTAAAACTTTGTAATAATTTTAACAGTCCATAAGTAGGAAGGACTAACTCAAGAGAAAAGGAGGACTGACTCCCTGTCAGACTTTAAACAGTGACTGAGTGAATGCACATCAGAAATTCTGCAAGGGGGCATTCAGTTGGAGGCTGGACAAATTGACCTCTGATACTTCTTCCAACTTTGAGATTCTGTGCTCCTATGATTCAGAGAACAGGGCAAGCTCAAGCTGTATCTAATCGAAAAGGAGGACAACTAAATATTTCAGATGATTTGATTTCCTTTTCCCCTCTTCAATATATTTAAAACAGAATTGTCTCATTTTATTTCTTTCAAAACTGTTTTGTTAGATTTAAAATCTTAAATTCTCTCTTTCCTGATGTGCAGACTACGTTCCTCCCCAGGGTTAACAGGGAAAATGGGTTCATCAGAGATGAGCTGTGAATGTAGTAGCAGATACATATGCAAGATGTTTTCAGGAGCCAAGGATGTGGTTCTTATGAACCCAGTGACTTGAATTCGTTAAGGACAGTTCATTGTTTCTTACCGTCTCCTTGGGGTATAGGGCATGCTCAAGCAGGACTAGTGCCTCTGGTGTGAGGGCTGCTGAGCCCTTTTCAGGCCTGCTTCTCCATCTTTGGTGATCACCCGATTCACCCAGCTCTCACCTGTGACTCCAAGAAGCTATAGCAAGTGCAGCAGCCACACCTCAGCAAACCATTTTTGGCAAGATGGGCTAAGTCGGGTTGAGGGTAACCAAGGGGTCTCAAACCCTTTGGTGAGGTAGGGGAGTGTCTAAACCAACCATGTGAAGGCTTTCCCTGGCAGAATGGGTGGATGAGTCCAATTTGCTCCAACAGCCATAAAGGTGGTTAAAGCAGGCTCTGTGGAGAGCTTAGAGTTTGGTTAGACATCAAAGACAACAAGATCATCCACTGTATCCTGAGCCATCACTAATCATCTTGACTTTGTCTTGCCACTGGACTTTGGTGGCTTTGGAAGAGAGAGAGAGAGGCTGATGACTTTGCACAGCTCTCCCTCAATTAAATCCAATTTATGCATAAATCAAAAGACATCACCCATACCATTTTACCATTTTTCTCTATCTTAAAGTCTTGTGGCAATGGGTAAGTGATGAAGCAGAAAGTATGGAAACACTGGGAGCTGTAGTCACAACCCTGTACATAGGCAGCCCAGGCCATAGGGTCATCTTCTCCTTGGAAGCAGCAGTGGGATTCAGCAGCCCCCTGGCTATCTGAGCAGCCTTTTTTTTAAGGACTGCATTGCTCACCTCCTGGTGTGAGGAAGGGGCTAGAAAAGGTGACCTATAAATTGTCTGCTTCACCCAACCCTAGCCTGCTTACCACAACAGGTGAGGATCTCACCCTGCAGCCAAAACACACACAAAATAGTACTAAAACTTTTGCAAATATGATTCCATTCACCATAAGTAAATGGAAGGTATGCATGCTTAAGAAAAACCAGTAGACCTGAAAGATGAACAGTTCTTGTTTCAAGAGAACTCAGCAGATACTACATTCAAATAGCAGTCTTGAGTGAAACAAGGTTGGCAAATGAAGGCTAGCTCACTGAAGTCGGAGCTGGATACACGCTTTTCTGAAGTGGCCACAGTGAAGGGGAGTGCTATGAAGCTGGTGTAGGTCTTACAATCAACACTCATCTATTCAACGAGCTTGTATGCCTACCAAAAGGAGTAAATGACAGCCTCATGACAATGCAATTGCCACTTGAAGGTAAATGCCATGCCACTATCAACCGTTCCTATGCTCCCACCATGACAAACCCTGATGAGGTCAAAAAAAAATTTCAGGAAGACCTGGAGACCTGATCATCAATGTGATAAAAGAGGCCAAAGGAAAGCATGGGAGAGAAGAGGTTAGACTACCAACCAAACTGAAGGTGAACAGAGCTGTTGTGCTGACCTCATTGTTGTATGCCTATGAAAGCTGGACAGTATACCAACACCATGCCAGGAAACTGAATTGCTTCCAATTGAATTGTCTTAGGAAGATTCTGAAGATTGTCTGACAAGATAAGGTACCTGATACTGAAGCCCTTTCTCTAGGTAAACTACCAAGCACTCAAACTTTACTGCAGAGAATGCAATTGTGATGGGCCAACCACATTGTTTGAATGCCAAACATACATTTACCTGAAAGACATTTTATGGAGAATTCACACAATGCAAACACTCTCAGGACGTCAGAAGAAGCAATAAAATACTCTCAGGGTCTCTCTGAAGAATTTTAGAATCAATTGTGTGATATGGGAGACACTGCAAAGGACTACCCAGCATGTCATGCCCACATCAAAGAAGGCATTGTGACCTATAAATGAAGGGGAATTGCAGTAGCTCAAAAGAAATGTGAGATGTGCAAATTTAGACATCTCCACTCCAAATGTTGACATGAACTATTTGTGTCCAACCTATGGTAGAGCCTTCCAAGCTCATTTTGGTCTTATCAAGCCACAGTTGGACACACAGTACCTAGACTCCAACATAGTGATGTCATCTTGGTCCCCTTTGAGAACAAAAAACAACAGCCAACCAACCATCCACAATCTCCTCACTTCTTTGGAGTGTGTTTCCTGTTAAGCCTCCTATGTCCAAACATTATTCTTCTCTAAAAAGAAGAGAAGTAAATAGGAGCTGAGTTATTCTGCCTTGTCACTGTCATATATTGACATTCTTTTATCTACCCAGGAACAGAGGTTTCATCTCCACTTTGATCTTCTTTCTTTCAACATAACTCTTAAAGAAGCCTTTTGTTGTCCTTCCTCATAACCTGTTTAAATTCATTCTGGACTTTAATATTCTTTGCATATGTCCTATAAGATCATACTACTCTTTTGCATTTGTTCTCCATTACCTGACTTGGCTTCCATATTTTATGTTTCTATTTCTTTTTACAATCTGCACTGGTTGATAAGTTCCTGATGTAGCCACATCAATTTCTTTAGATAACTCTTTCCTGCTTTCTCTATCTTCAGAATTGCTTTTCTTGATCTCTTCAGAATTTTGTTTTTGAGAGATCCCTTCTTAGGCTAACTTTTCCTGTAGAGTTTTAAGCTATTGGAATCTACCTATTCATCCTGCAACTACATTTAAATCTATTCTTTCACATCTATTATTGACATTATTTTTTTTCGTTTTCTATTACAAATTCCAAGACAGAGTGGTCACTTCTTGAGTTTTCCATCATTTCTGCATCAGCAACATATTCTTCCTCACTTATTAAAATCAGAATCATTTGTCAGAATCTGTTCTAGATCTGACTTATGGTCATTTCCCCCAACTATTGACATGCAAAATTATCATTATGGCAAAGAATTTGTTAATGGCTCTACTTTTGGTAGAGAGATAGGTAAAAAAAAAATAAAGAAAATAGACATTTCCTAGATTCCTCATCTAATTCTTCCAACTATCCAGGTGGCAAGATGTTTCCACCTAAATGCTTTCCATTATATTTTCTTGGTCTGGTCCCCGCATTTCTCCATGAATATAACCTAAAATACAATGTCACTACACCATCTCTTTCATCTATTCTGTTACTCTTGAATAAAGCACATTTTTTTCAGTCATATGCCAGTCATGTATCCCAGTTTGCCAAGTATTAGTGACACCTATAAAGTGAAATGTATTTCCTTGTGTTAGAATCTACATACAGTTCACTCTTTACATTTTCCATACATTCTGCCTCTGTAATTAGACATCTGAGGTCAAAGGTTCTATTGCAAGATCTCTTTTCGCATAAGATCTGTGGTAATTGTCTTCTCTTTTGCTATTCTTCTTTGGATATTATATTTGCTACTGTCTGCGTATCTTCCTTGAAAGATCTATGCAGTTTTCTCCCTCCTTTTCCAACTTAAAATTCTCTCAATCAAATTTGCAAGACTCCAAGAAAATATATCTCTATATGTGCCTATCTGTATCTATATCTATCTATATTTGTATCTATAACTATATCCTTATCTGTACCTATAAGTGTATAATCTATATCTATATTGATAGCTATATCATCTGTATCTCTGTCTCTATCTTCTACATTTTTATCATTTCTACCTCTAATCTCTATATCTAGAACATCTATGTCTATAGTTATATCATCTGTATCTATATCCATATCCTCTGTATGTCTATACCTATCATCTATATCTATATATAAATTTTATTGGGCCTCCTTAGGTATACTCCATCCCTGGTCAAGAGCCTGTCATTCATCTGTTTCAAGTCACATTCAGAAATTCTAACCCCATTTTTCGACAGCATCTTTTTGGCGACCAAAAATTCACTTTTCATCTTTCACATGAATCCCCTGCTTCAATCAATAACAGTAACAAAAATCCCACCAGTGATGTAATATTCTTTAGCAATATTTTCTATGTGCCTTCTGCAGATATCATCTGTCATCATATAAATGGAATGGTAAATGATTATTATCATTGACAAATCTCAGGAAATAGTCACTGTCATAAGCCCTGTGAAGGAAAGCAGACTTCTCTGTCATTGACATCATATTGACAAATAGCTGCCTTGGCAGCCCTCATCAGGGAGTACCAACCACCACCACTTCTTTCTTGTTCCTTTGCCCATGGCTGACAGACATCTCTCCTGATGGCACCAGTGGACCCACATCATCATTCCTTGGAGCAAAAGAAGGTGCTTCTCCTGAGAGGGTCCGGCTTCTCCCTCTAGGGAAAAAGCATCATCTTTATGACTTAGGCTCAAATGTTTTTATTCCTCCCTTTTTTGGTTTTCTTTCCTTCTGGATTTCATCCTCCTGATTCAAGCAGGATTCCCTACTGAGGTATACTGTAAAGAACACTGACTCTGGAGTCAGAGGTCAGGGGTTCAAATCCTTCCTATAAACCTTGGGCAAGTCATTTAACCTTCTTAGTCCTCAATTTCCCCATCTGTAAAATGGGGGGGGGGGGAAGGTCAGACTATGTAATCTCTGAGATCTTTTCCAGTTTTACATCTACAAAGTAATTCAATTAATGTTTATTAAGCATCTACTCATGCTATGTTAAGTCCTGGGGATACAGATAAGAAAAAGAAAGACAGTTCCTGTCCTGGAAAATTCTGAAAGTTCAGAGTCCTCTATCTACAAAGGAAGGTTTTGGAAGGTGTTTAGTGCTCCATCCTTCAACCCCTCAAAGGGAGGGGAGAGTCCAATGAGGATTGGAAAAGGTGTTGAGTTTCAAAAACTTGAGCATTATGATGAGATTTCAGGTGATCAGTTTCCCCTGGGTGGGGCATGATGATGGACAATAGAGAGTTACTTCCTATACATGCTATGATTTACTGCTTCTGGGATCCAGGCATGGGAGAGAATTGATGAGATTTAAAGTGAGATGCCTATCTCTAAGGAATCCCAGCAGAAGTCACCAGGAGTACAGCATTCAGACTAGCAGCATCTGCTTTTCCCATCTTGTAGTACCAGCTCCAGGAGAACGTAGCTTCCAGTGTTTGGGCCACCAGGGTGAAAGTTGCTACTTTTTTTTTCTTTTGCTGTTGTTGGGGATCCAAGCAACGCTTCTGTTGGTCTGTGACACTCAAAGCATGGTGATAGGCTACCCTCCACTATACAAGACCAGGTTTAGGATGGGAAAGAAAAGGAGGCAGAGATCAAAGTGCAGTCCACATTCAGACCAAGATGATGTATTATTTCATGGATAATGTGTGAGACTTTTTCTTCAGGTGAACAATGAAGAAGATGATTTGAAAACTGATTTCTACAATAATTTGATTCCTCTGGGAAATTCTTATGATCACAGTGGTTTAGCTTCTTTCCAAGGGCAAAGTCGTTCAGGGATTCCGTTGTTATGGTCAACAAAAAGAAATGAAAGAATTACTCAACAATCCTCCTTCAGACAAGCTATTCAAGCTTCCCACAAAAAGGTAGGAGAAAATGGTCCATGGCCTTTTTCATTTTTCCTTTGACAAACAGTTTCAATTTTAGAATGACATTCAAGGCTCTCTAATTCAGTCAAACTAAATTACTTACATTATCTATTTTTGTTGTACCTTCTGCCCTCTGCCCCTTCCCCCTGCCTTTGCTCCCAATTTCCTCACATACCTAGAAGAGTTTCACCCAAACCTCACTATTTTTGTCTCTTGAAATCTCTCTCTTTTTTCAAGATCCAACTTAGATGTTATCTCTTAAAAGTCTTCCCTGACCCTCCCCCTCCTTAAACTTCTCATAGCTTGTTATTTGGATCTTTCCTCTGTATTTATCATAGTCCCACTTCTGTCAAAAATTTGCTTAGGTCTGTGGCACCCCCTTGGAGATGTGAGATGAAAGGGCCCTGCCTAAACCCCATACATACTGTAGAGAAGATGTGATACTCTGCTTCCTGTCATCCATGATGACTCAAGAACTCAGAGATTCATCCTTATGCCTAAGGCCAGGAGGAGAAAGACTTGAGAGGACTGGGATTGCCCCTTTAATGTATCTGGGTAATTCTGGCTGAGCAACCAATTAAAAGAGTCATCATGAGCCTCAGCAAGCAGTCAGAGGTTATCTGTGCCTTCTCTGAAATGAGTGCAATCCCACCATAGGCCTTATCCCCCTATAAGATTGTTTATTCTTTGAGGGCAAAGCCTAGGTCATGTATATCTTTGTATTTGAATTTCACACATTGCAGGAACTAAATCAATGTTTACTAAATTGAACAGAATGGAGTACAATGAAATCTTGAGAAAGTCATTTAACATCCCTGAGCCTCAATTTCCTCAACTCTAAAAGGAGAGTTGAACTAAATAACCTTTGAGAACCCTTCCAACCCTAGAACTATGGTCTACTTACTTTCTGATGAGAAGAAAAATATTTTGTAGCCAAATAAATGGAAAAGAAAAGGAGCAATTTGGAAGGTTAACCTAGACTAATTAGTTATTGAAGCAAAAATACAACTTCTGAGTGCCAAGTTAACATGGCACAGAGATGAGACGAAAAGATGAAAAGAGACAGTTACACTTATTAAACTAGGTAGCTTATTTTGTCTGCAAAGGGAAGAAGAGAGGATGTTTTTTAAAATCATTCCCAAATCATTTAGAATCAGAGAATTTAAGAACTTCTAATGCAACCTGCTCCTTTTACAGATGAAGAAACAGAGGGCCATGGAAGCTAAGTGATTTTCCAAGGGTTGTAGCTTGATCCCAGATTTTTTGATTTCCAAGGCTCTGTCTGTTCTACCTGTGATGTAATCTTCTGGGGGCAGTGATACATTAGGAAGCCATTACAAATAGAAAATACCCTGGGGAAACATGAATTCTGCTTTTGGAATCAAAGGATCCCAGTCTAAATCTGAGCTCTGCAGTGATAGGCAAGTCATGGGCAAGACCTTCCAAGGCTCAAAGCTCTGGCAAGTATCAGAAGCAAATGTGACTAAGACACATATGAGATTAACTTTGCTGGGCTTAAGTGTTCTCATCTGGAAAATGAAGAGGTCAGATCGTCTCTTAAATCACTTTCAGCTCTAAATCTAGGGCTTTGTTTGTGAAGGGGAAAAAGAGAAATAAGGATTTCATTCCCAGCCTCACCATGATTTGCTAGAGCATCTTGGCCACTCAAAACTTTTGAGCTCTGGTCTCTTCTTTCATAAACCTGAAAGAAGAAGAATATTTGCCATGTATCACTATCAAGTCCCATAACTGACATCATCAACATAATCTCGTCTGTGAAATATCCTGTGTACCATAGAAGAAAGGTGTTACTTCAATGTGAAATTGTTTTCAATTTTGTATGCACAACAAATGCTACATAAAACAAACTTCGCTCCGAGACCTATAATTTAAAGAGTCAACATGACTGGGGGAATGAAGAAGAACATGGTCCATGGAAGCCTTGTAAAGAGATTTCTTTCAGCCTCCACTAATTCCAATGCTTTTCTGCTTTTTCTTTAGGATTCCAGTTTTATTAGGATTCATAAAGTAATTTCTGTCCTCAACTTTACAATGAAACCCACAGATTTGCAACTCTCGGATGTCTTTTTGAAGGCACTTAACCATCTGCCTCTCCAGTATAATTATGCCTTATACAGTCGTTTATTTGATGACTTTGGGACTCATTATTTCACTTCTGGTTCCATGGGAGGTACCTATGACCTCCTCTATCAATACAGCCGGGAAGAACTGAAGAACTCAGGTAAGGTCCCTTTTACCCTGCCATCATTATACCCAGAGGTGAAGGGATCTAAAATCATAGGATTTAGGTCTGGAAAGGATCTCAGGGATTATCTAGCCCAATCTCCTAATTTTATGAGTGAGAAAACTGAGGCCTGCAAAGGGAATTAATTTATGTTTGTGTGTGTGTGTGTGTGTGTGTGTGTATGTGTAATCTTATGTCATATTCATAATCAGACTTAAGTGATAGGAAATACCAACTTAAAATGGTTGGATTTCAATAAATACCACTCTCTACTTAAAATAGAAAGAGTAATTCATTCTCTTGGGCTCTCCTATGCAAATATGGAAAAGATCTGCAATGTAGGGGACTCTTTCTTTGGGCCTTCCTTCCACCAATGTAGCTCACAGCCCTCTATACCTTGGCAAGTAAGTAACCTAGAGAAGTGTCTGAGACACTTTTGAGATTAAGTGACTTACTCAGGGTCAAAACACTAGTAAGTGTCAGAGACAAGATTTAAGCCTAGGTCTTCTTGATGCCAAGACCAGCACTGTATTTCACTATGCTAGCTTCACCTATATATCATAATGACTTTCAATTAGCCAAATTAAATTCCATAATAATTTATATATATGGAGGTGGATATGGCCTCAGGTTCATGGGTTTGTGTGTCAACAGAAAATCTCTTTGCTGGATTTTTGTAGCAGCTCTGAGTGAATCTTCTAATCACAGAATCATAAATGTTAGATATTAGAACTGGAATGGACCCTAGGAACCATCTAGTGCAACCCTTCTTTTTCATAGAGAGAAAACTTTTGGCCAGAGAAGTCATGTGACTTGCCAAGGTCACATGGTGAGTTGGTAACAGAGTCAAGATTGTAAACGGTGTTTCCTGACTCTCAAATCAGTGCTACTCCACTCCCCCCCCCCCCTTTTGATAAGGACTATAGGGTTGTTCATCCTTTTTTGTATCAAGGACACCTTTGGTAGTCTGGTGAAATCTATGAGAACTCTTTCTAATAATAATGCCCTTAAATACATAAAATACATGGTATTACAAAGGAAATCAATTACATTGAAATAGTTATTAAAACTTTGAAAAAAGTCTTGGAGCCTAGATTAAGAACCTCTGTTTAGATGCAAGTCATTATCCTGGGGTATATACTTGATTTTGCAGTCATAGGACCTGAGTTCAAATCTAACTTTGTTATTTACTAGATATTTGACCTTGGGAAAATCACTTAACATTTTTGGGTCTCAGTTACTTCATCTACTAAATGAAGGGGTTGGACCAGATGACAGCTAAGGTTCCTTCCAGCTCTAAATCTATAATCCCATAATGCTATAATTTCAGCTAAATGATATTCAATTAGCCAAAAACCTCTATTTTATAAGGATCTTAACATACTCATGTTTAAGAGAAATAAGTAAATAATAAATCAAATCGGTAACTATATCTTCTTTTATATAGTCCCCTATTGTTGCAACTACAGACACCAAAGTCACTATAGAGCAAAGGGTAATATTGTGTCAGTAAGGATGGGATAAATAGGGTACAAAGGTCTGGGCCTTTGACATGCCGCTCTACAAGAATAATGTATTTCCAAGCCTGGCAGAAGTTTCCATTGCCTCTAAAAGTATCAGCTGGGCATGACAGCAATCCTCCTAGTTCTTGTCAGTGGTGACTGGTGGGGACTAGAAAAGGAAGTGAGCTTCTCCATTCCCTGGAGGGATTATTCTCAGTGTTTGCTCTGCTTGTGTCCTACATCCCAGGCTTAACAGAGGAAGAATCCCAACACTGTGTCCGCATTGAGACTGTTAAGCGAAGGCTGTTCTTCAAGAAAAAGAAAGTAGAGAACAGGTGCACCACAAACAAGATGTTAGAACGCTATGAAGGTAATGGCAGACTCTCTCGGTAAGAAAGACCCAGTGGTGTACAGAGTCATTTCTTCTGTTAGCTTTCTCTCTTCCAGGCTAAACATACCCAGTTCCTTCAGTTTATCTTCAGATCACATAATCTCAAGGACCTCAGCATCCTGTTTGTCTTTCTCTGAACACTTTCCAACTTATTAATGTGGCTTCTTGAAATGTTGCATTCAGAACTCAGCACAGTCCTTACTCTATGTAGGGTCTGACCCATTCAGACTGGTACAACAGGAATATCAATGCCCTTTTTCTGGATACTAGGGTTCTCTCAAGGTAGCCTAAGGTAGCCCTGGCTCTTTTGCCACCATATCCTGCTGTTGACTCATTCTTAGCTTGCAGTCCACTAAAAATTCCAGATTTTTTTTTTCCAGATGACCTACTATCTGGCCACACTTTATGCCTCACTTATCAGGCACTTGTAAAATTGTTGTTTTTTTTAATTCCAAGGGTAAGATTTTATATTTCTCTGTATTAAATCCCATCTTGTTAATTTAAGCCTGCAGGTCTAGCCTGTTGGAATCTTACATATAGCTGGCCTTATTTACACCATTCCATTTCTTCATCCCAGGGTTTGGTTTAATTGCCATATGCTATTTTAAATCTGGAGAGCAAGAGCCATGGCTGAGACTTGCTCAGGACCATGAAGGGCCAGATTAAATCTCCAAGTCATGAACCACATTAGCTACCCTTTCTTTACCAAGTAACTATTAGTTATTTTTTGGTGTTAAAAAATTTAATTCTCAAAGGTTAAATGTTATTGAGGGAACATTACACATGTCAGAACTGATCTTTCAAGGCCAGTGTCAAGGTCTTACGTTTTCTTATGTTTAGGGCAGGACAGATCATAGTTAGCCAAGACCTAGAGACTAAATGGGGTAGATCAGGAGACTGGGGTCTGTTTCCAGTACAGCAATACCCTGAAACATAGACAGGCAGGTGGGTAGTTGACATTAAAAAAGTATAGGACTAGGTAACAGGTGGATGTATAGGTGGAAAGGCAGGGTACAGCAGAAGATGTTTATGCCATTAGGTCCAAGTCTAATACTAGAGGTTTTCAAGTAGAGACTTGAAGACCCCTTGTCAAAGATGCAGAAGAGAGCATTCCTATTCATGTATGGGTTGGACTAGATGACCCCTGGGGTCCCTTTTCCATTTCAGATTCTGTGATGATGTGCACAAGTAGTTTTCTCATCGGACATAACATGGAATTAAGCTATCCTTTGATAAATAGGTATCTAGGCAGATAGATAATCAATTTCAGAGAGTTCTAGCAATAGATAAGTAGGCATGGGGACAGAGTTTCCACCACAGGGCAGAGGTCACTGGAAGGATTTGGGCAGGGGGTAGCAAGGCACAACCCAATCATCCAAGGAACTTGGAAACTAATCAACTAATCAATGACCCAAATTTATTAAGTCTTTACCATGTGCCAGGCATTGTGCCAAGTATTGGGGATACAATTAATAAAAATGAAGACAGTCCCTGCTCTTAGGGTTCTTACAGTCCAATGGGGGAGACAACTCACAAATGGAGGCAGAAAAGTGTGTGTGGTGGGATATGGTGGGGGGAAATGGAACACCAGGGTCTACCTGGCATAGAGGTCCCTTATTCCATCGAGTTGAAACAAGGCAGGGCAGCAGATACCAAGTAGAGTGATCTGAGAGTCCAGTTTCTGCCCTCTATAAAGGAAGGCATTGGGAGGAGTTTAATACTCCAGCCTCTCCCCTTCCAAACCGATGGGGAGAGAAAGCTGAGAGAGATGGAGTCAATCAAGGCTTTGGTGGTGAGTTTAGAAAGGATGAGCTTATCTTGGAAGGGGCATATCGTTCCATGAAGTTGAAACCAGGCAGGACAGTAGATGCAACATGGGGTGGGAAAATGAACCACTACCTCATCTTAAGGAGGTTATGATCAAACTGGGGAGGCAAAAAGTATATATATACACACAGACTAGACATATATATATATATATATATATATCCTAGACATATATATAGTATATATATATACACTAGACATATGTATATATCCTAGACATATATATGCTCTCTCTCTATATATATACACACTAGACATATATATACATACTATACATATATATATATGTCCATACAGAATAAATATAAGAAAACTAAATGCAAAGTAGTTAAAGACAAGGTAGCTTGGGAGGGAAGGAACAAGCAGATCAACTAAGATAGGATCTGAATTACTGGGAAAATGGAGCTTTGGATGAGTTATAGTCACAGAAAATAAAGTAAGAGATGAAGTACTGAAATCTTGACACAGGCTTTGCTAGGCTGACTTGATAGTAAGCCATCAAATCTATGACTCTGTTAAGCTTTATTTCCTCTGCCTAAGGGACAGGTTGGATCCCATGATCAAGATTAAGCTAAGTCAGTCAGTGGGAGTAAGTAGTTCCTAGCCATTGGTTCTGAAGAAATCCAAGGGCAGGAGTCAAGGCTATCATTACAGGGAATGTCACACAAACATAGGATCATAGATTTAGAACTGGAAGCAACCTTTGAGATCTTTATAGCCTAACCCTCTCCCCCTGCTCCTCATCTTACTCATGATTTGACCAAGGTCACACAGGTGACAGTGGCAGAGTCAGGATTTGAACCCAACTCTTGACTTTAAAACCAATTTTCCTTTCTTCTAAGTAAATTATATTTAATTTAGCCTCTTCAATTCAATTAGCTATCCTTTTAGTTAAATGATTTCTTGAGAAATGATGAGCAGGCAGACTTCAGAAAAACCTAGAAAGACTTATATGGACTGATGCTGAGTGAAGTGAGCAGAACCAGGAGAACCTTGTACATAGTAACAGCCACATTGTGTGATGACTAACTTTGATAAACGTAGCTCTTCTCATCAAGGATCTAGGACATCTCCAAAAGTCTCATGTTGGAAAATGCTATCCACATCCAGAGAAAGAACTATAGAGTTTGAATGCAGATCAAAGCATACTACTTGCTATTTTTTCTTCTGTTTTGTTTTGTTTTCTCTTTCTTGTGGTTCCTCCTATTGGTTCTAATTCTTCCTTACAACATCACTAATGTGAAAATATGTTTAATAGGAATGTATATGTAGAGCCTATATTAGATTGCACACTGTCTTGGGGAGGGAGGCAGGAAGAGAGGGGGAAAAATTTAAAACTCAAAAGCTTATGGAAGTGAATGTTGAAAATTAAAAATGAATCAATTAATAAAAAAAGAAAAAATGGTTTCTTGACCCTTTCTTTTAAGCTTAAGAATATTTTCCATCTTACCCCAAACTTTGATGCTCCAACATTGTTTTTGCTTACATTATACGAATAGTATTACTCCCTGGGATAGAGGCACGAGAGGCTACAAATTAGGTTAGGCATCACAGAGTAAGCTCTTTTTGAAAACAAAATACTCTTCACCTTTCATCCATGGTAGAGTGAGGATAAATTAAACTTATTTTGGTGATGAACCATAGTCATGAATGATCTCTATCAGTCTCCCCAGGATGCAAATAAGCAGATTTTATTTTTAAAGTGCAAATCTGCAATAAATTTGAAAGGATAATCTCATTGAAAACCCTCTACAGGCTCATTTTTGCAAGGAGCTGAAAAATCCCTATCTCTGGTCCGAGGAGGAAGGAGTGAATACGCTGCAGCTTTGGCATGGGAGAAAAAAGGAGCCTCTCCAGAAGAGACTGTATTTACTGAATGGCTGCAGTCTGTGAAGGAAAACCCTGCTGTCATTGACTTTGAGGTAAAACTTAAAGAATGATTAATGGTCAGCAGTGGCAGTCATTCTCAAGCAAAGAAAAGCCAACTTCCTACAGTCCATTTCCCATTTTCCTTGCCTTCTTCCAGTCAGTAAAGAAAATATATTCTTCCCTTTAGTGTACTTGTAGAATATGCCTTTTCCCCTCACATAAAATTGAAATTATATCATTTTTGCTACCCAAACAAGTATTTTGGTTAACACTATTCAGAGTTCAGGGCATGCCTTAAATATATTTGAATATCCAGCAGCGGAAACTTGCTGCATAAGAAAGCTCAAACTTGTACAAATATTAATTGTTATCTCCTTGGGCATATTGTAATATCTAATTTCTACATTTTTCTTACAAGTCTTTTTATTAGATTACTATTATTATATTTTATCATATCATATTACGTTATAAAATGTATGTTAATATAATTAATATTATGATATGTTGATATAATATTACTGTTACTATTATATTATTCTTTTGTGTTCATGGATTACTGAATGGTGGAAAAAATGTCTCCAGGATCATTGGTTTCCAGCTTTTACTGTTTATAGTTTTATTGATTAGAATTGATCTTTAGATTATAGAGGGGAGCTGGAAAGACCTCACAGGCCAATTGATCCAACCTACTCACTTGACTGATGTGGTCCAGGGAAGATGCATGGTTTGCCCTTTTCCTTCTCCAGTGGAATAAGGCAAACAGATATTAAATTATTTGCCCAGGATCACACAGCTAGTGAGTCTCTCAGGAAGCATTCGAACTCAGGTCTTCCTGACTTCAGGCCCAGTGCTCTATCCACTGAGTCATCTAACTGCCTCTTACAGTAGATACAGTAAGTGTAATGGGTGAGTTTTGAACCTGGGTCCTCAAACTCTAGAACCTGTACCATTCTGTGTCTACTGCCCCAGTCTACTTGAGTATTTCTGCATTTAATGCAGTGCCTGACACATAATAAGTGTTTGATAAATGCTTATTGACTATTGGCAGGTTGACTTCTATAATTTTATGAAAGGAGGTCATCTCCTCTAGGGCTGATAGAGGGCCTCATGTCCACTGCAATGCCCATAAATCATATGACTATTTGGAGATGAAAGCAGGGACCTGGTGGTACCAGTTTAAACTGATTAACTAACAAGAGTCATTGTTAAATTTTCAGCAAACACTACAAATCAGGGCTTGATGTATTATCTTATTAATTCTCTAGACTTACGAAAGTGATGGAGAAAATGATAATAATGCAGATTAAACTTAAAAGTGTATCCTGCATGTATTTTTTGTTAAGCATTACCAATTGTCAATCAATTACCAACATATCCCTAGCTGAAAGGGACCTTGGAAGCCACCTGGTTCAACCCCTTCATTTTATAGATAAGGAACTGAGACAGAGAGAGGTTGAGTGACTTGACTAAGGTCACACAATTAGTAAATGTCTGAGTCAGTATTTGAACCTAGGTTTTCCTGATTTCAACTCTAGTACTCTATCCATTATGCCAAGCCACTTCTCTAAAGATCATTTAAATCCCTTTCCAATCTGGTTACTTTGTAAATAAAGCTACTTCCACAAATGGGATCCACAAAAGGATGTAATGTTTTCTTTGAGTAGGGAACAGGTAATTCGGTTCCCATGGAAGTTAGGTCTTATTTATATGCAGCATTAAAGGTCATTTATGCTATATGGGAATAGAGACCAGAGAGTATAGCCGGGTTGTGTTTTCCACACTACAGAAAGTAACTGCTTCAGGGTTCAGGCCTGTCACACCAAAAGTGAATCTGCTTCCTAGTAGTTCTTTTTCTTTATCATCATTAACTCTGCTGTTCATCCTACTACTTTGTTTCTTCATCTTTTGTTATTCCATCTCTTCTTATGGCTTCACCAGAAGCCAAAACATCAAGGTCATAAAACCTTCTTTCAGACTCATTCCCATGCCCTGTCAGAGTCTCTGCTCAGATGAGGCCTTGTAAGATTTTAGCAGATTTGCCCAGCCCCATTAGCTGCCTGACTCAAAGTTAGTCAAACTTGCATTTATTAGGTGCCTACTATGTGCCAGGCACTATCATCCACACTGTCCTTTGTATAGGTACCTCTGAGAATTGCATAAAACCATGGCATGGAGTTAGTTAAGAGACTATCCCTTCCCAATGGAACAACTCTTAAGAGAGTAGAAGGGGCAAAGATGGCACATCTTAGAGAAGGCAAAAACAGAGAGACAGAGAGAGAGAGAGAGAGAGACAGAGAGACAGAGAGACAGAGAGACAGAGAGAGAGAGAGAGACAGAGAGACAGAGAGACAGAGAGACAGAGAGACAGAGAGAGAGAGAGAGACTCCATTTTCTCAAAAAGACAGGCAGATAAAGCCTCCACTTTCACACAACAAGCCATTGGAGGACTTCCCTCCAGAACGACAAGACCTGAATGACATTCTAAGTCATTCCTTTTAGGTGAGAGGGAGGGAGCTTTCCTCTTTCATTCCAACAGACGTCCATGGTGATAGAACATCAAGCCAAAGGTGATTTGGCTGTTACTGCCAAAGTGATTCTCCTAAAGTGTCCTCAGTCAGTCAGCCAATAAATATTAATTAAGTGGCTACTATATGACAGGGACTGTGCTAATCCTGGGGACACAAAGAAATGCAAGATAGTCCTTGTGCTCAAGGAGTCTGCAGTCCACTGAGGGAACATAACACACAAAAAGAAGCTGAAAAAAGGAAGGGGGAAGGTACCCCATAGAGAAGGCTAAAGGAAAGCAGTGGGTGGGCAATGAAGAGCAGGTCTTTCACCCCGTTACTCAGTAAACTACACTGTCTCCCTACCCCATTCAGAATCAAATATAAAGTTGATTGTTTGGCATTTAAATCCCTTTACAACTTGGCTTCTTCCTTCCTATTCAATCTTCTTTGATTCCCCTCCATGCACTCTATGATCCAGCCGTACTGGCCTAGCTGCTGTTATTCCAATAGGACATTCCCATTTCCAGTCTCCGTGCTTTCTCTCTGGCAGTCCCCCATGCCTGAAATGTTTTCCTGCCTTCCTTCCATCTCTTAGAGTTCCTAGCTTCCTTCAAGAGTCAACTCAAATAATCCTCAAACAGGCCTTTCCCAGTCCTCCTAGCTATCAGAGCAGTTCCCACTAAGATCACCTTCCATTTACTCTGTCTGTATTTTGTATGTATCTATTGATGTGATTCTGTTGTTTTCCCATGAGAATGTCACCTCCCTGTGAGAAGGGACTTTCTTTTAACCTTTCTTTGTGTCCCAAGTGCTTAGCTTACAGCGTCTGGGACACAGCAAGTGCTTAATAGATGCTTATAGTTTGATTGAATGACTGATTACTCTTCTTTGTGATATCCTCTTAGTTGGCATCTATCTTGGACTTGGTGAAAAACATTCCCTGTGCGGTCACAAAACGGAAAAATCTCAAGAAAGCTCTCCGAGAATATGCTGAAAAATTTGATCCTTGCAAATGTGCCCCATGTCCTAACAATGGCCGACCCACACTCTTAGGAACCGAGTGCCTCTGTGTGTGTCAGAGTGGAACCTATGGCGAGAACTGTGAGAAACGAGCCCCAGACTTCACATCCGGTGGGTATCAGTGGATTGTTGTGAAATAGCCATGTTCTTTCTAAAATACTTTTTAAGACAGTCGATGAAAACAACACCACCCTATATAAAATCCTCCAGGGGACGTCTTTGAAAGGATCATAAATACTAGAAAGGCTTTGAGCTTCCAGGCAGGGGGCAGGGCACAAGATTTTTATTAAGTGCCTACTATGTGCCAGGCACTGTGCTAAGCACTTAACAAAGATTATCTCATTTGATTCTCATAACAACTCTGGGAAGTAGGTGCTATTATCTCCATTTTACAGTAGAGAAAACTAAGGCAGACACGCAGACAAAGCCTATGTGACTTGTTCAGGGTCACATGGATCATAGGTTGTGCTAGGCTGCCTAAGTAATAGAAAAAGGAAGTTGACCTTGTAAAGGACAGTGAATTCAAAATGAGCTGAGGTTTTTAGGCCAATGACAGATAAAAATTTTTCTGATCTTCTCTTGCAATACCATGGATTTACAACTCTTGAGGTCTTCTTTTATTCAACCACTCACTCCATTCACTTTATTCATTTTTTTTATATTTAACAAACATTTGTTAAGCTCCTACTGTGTGCAGATCACTGTGCTTTAGCATTGGGGGACCAATAACGTTTAGATAAAACATTTTAACCTACCTTTGTTTTGCTTCTACTCTTTTTTTTTTATTGTCACAAGATTGAATCCATTTATTGCTTTTTGTATACTAAAGTAGCCAATGCAAACCTCATTTTTAGAGACTGCTTTGCTTGGTAGAAGCATTTTTATTAAGAATAGTTCATTATAACCCTTTTTGCTTTTACATTTAGAGTTGAATTTTCTTTAAAGTATAACTGTGTGTAACTTCATATTTTGCTGCTAATAGTTCAACAGTTTCCCCCCCCTACTTTGTAACTTTTGCAAGAAGTCTTACTGGATTTATCAACTCCTCTCCCTCCCTCTTGAATAATTCTCAAAATAATTATTAGCACCTGGACAGGCAAGACTTTCCACCCTGAGATAATAGCTGCCTTCCAAGGTCGCTAAATTTGTGCCATTTTTAGGCTAATTTTGAGAAACTCTGCAGTTGCCCATCTCAGTAATAGCCACCCACATCTAGGGCTGCTAAAGGTGTTAAATGTGTCCCAGGTGAGAGCTATCCTAAAGACCAATTATGAATTCAGAAAGTTGTGCCTCAAGTTCAGTTACATGCATGTTGATGAATTAGCTCTACAAAAAAATCTTTATGATCAGTTACAAAGCAAGATTTTTACAATCAGGATTTTTTCTCTGTATAAGCAAGAACTCAGTGACATTTCACACACTGCTGAACGTCTGCTTCCAGTCTTCTAATTGTGCTTACTATGGTACAAGGGTTCTGTAATATTGACTGACATTCTCAAGCAATGAGAGTAGAGACCACACCCATTGTCATCAGAGGTAATGATTCTCCTGTGACCACTTGCTGGAAAGTTAAAAGTCAATCACTCTCTGCTCTCGTATCAGACAAGCTGGTACCCACTTACTACAGGTTCTAGAAAAGCATTCTTTATCCCCATTTATGGACAGCTTATCTGTGATTTCTAATTATATATGAATCCACAATATATATTCTTCATTTACCATTTTTCAGTGGCATGGCTAAGCTCGTGTCTCTCCCTTAGGGAAAGTGAAATGATCCCTTCTCCATCAGTAGTTTCAGTTATGTTATATTGTATTCAGTTATACTAGACAGTGAACTCTTTAAGGGCAGGCATTGCTTTATACCTTTCTTTGTATACCCAATGCCTAACACACAGTGGGTGCTTAATAAATGCAATTGACTGATATTGACTGACTGACTGAAGTGGGTGCCACCTGAGTGATGTGAAAAGAAGTAGCCATCCGTGTTGTCTCCCCATTCTACCCCCTAGTGGAATTTCTTGTGCAATACCTAATTATGCTGTTATTCCTGCCCCTTATTTGCAAATGAGCCACAATTATGGACTCTTCATCCAGAGATCTTGGGAGGAGTTAGTCAAGTCCCTGGTGATTTCTCTTCCTATCCCAGATGAAGTTGATGGTGCCTGGAGTTGCTGGTCCCCATGGAGTCCATGTGATGCTTCTTATAAAAGAAGAAGGACCCGTGAATGTAACAACCCTGCGCCCCAGAATGGAGGGAAGCCTTGTAGAGGAGAGCAAGAGCAAGAAGAGGAATGTTCTTTTTCAATATTTGAAAACAGGTAAAGAATGGGAAGGAACTAGGGATTTTTCCTTCCCTGACATTAGTGATGAAAGTACTCTTAAGCATTTTGATAAGGTATGATTTGTATCTGATATATTTTGAAAAACATTCCTGGTGAGGCATTGGGTTTTTCTCTAATTTTCTTTAAAATACACACATGTACATACATGCCTTTTTGTTTCCCCAGGGGAGATATCTGCATAAATGATGATGAGGCCCTAAAAGAGGTGGACATTGATGAAGTTAATCCTAAATCTGGATGTGTTAAACCTATTCCTCCTGAAAATGGATTTCTCAGGGTAAGCTGCCCCAGTCATGTACTAAGTTAATGTTAGGGTCTTAGGCACAGAAGAAAAAGAACAAACTTGAAACTTGGGACCACTTCTGAGAATAGGTATGTGTCTACTTTCAGTAAGTCCCTGTAGATTTAAAAAGAACGCAAAATCTGTAAAGCTCTATGTTCGCATCCCATGCCCAAATTTTCAGGTGATATCCATCCTTATCTTTCTATTTCCACTTAGGTAAGTGAAGAACAAAGAAACAGACTGCATCCATCCTCATTCCAGTACTCTTATTTATACCCCTCTCCCACTCCTGCCCACCCCCTTCCCCACTCCTGTCTACCCCCATCCCAACTTTGCTGGAAGGTTATGAAATGGGGTTAATGGTATGTGAATGTGATGGAGGGCTGAACTCAAATCCATGTGGACTTGGATAATTTGTCACGCCCTTTATTATTTTTCCCTGAGCAAGAGGTAAAAAATTGAAGGGAGGGATAGCATGGTACAAGTAGGGTTATGGAGGCAGATGGCAAGATGACTTTTTTTGGCTAGGTCCCAGTATACTTGCGGATGGTTGGATGGAATGAAGAATGGTTTAGGGCTATGGAACCATCTAGGTATAGGGGGCAGAAGTGAGGATTGAATCACTCATTATCCAATCTGTGAAGCTCTAGCCCTCACCTGACTGAAAGATAAGTGCAATAATTCCTCCCAAGAAGGGGCAGTAAGGTCTCTGGAGATCTGGATCAGAAGGGTCAATGTTTCTTGTGGGGAGAAACAGATAATTGTGGGGCAGGTGGCAAGGCATCCTCTCTGGTGAGGCCTGGTTTTCCTGGCAGTGGATGGTTGAAAGAATACCATCTCTAGTTCCATTATTAAGCCAACTCCCAATCAATCTAAAAGCTCTCAAGGAGATGGGAATGCTTGAAGCTCGTGATTGACAGTAGTGTTATGACAGTATCCTAAAACCTCTGAGTTGGATTCCTGGGGTTTCTTTGATTTGTAGAATGAGAAGAGGCTGTATTCTGTTGGAGAAGAAGTCGAAGTTGCCTGCATGACGGGCTTCGATCTTGTTGGCTATCCATACGTCAGGTGTTTACCTGACCAGACATGGAGGCAAGAAGATGTGGAATGTCAAAGTAAGGATATGGGGATAAATTTCAGAATGACCTATAATCTCCAGGCTTGAAAAGGACCAAGAAAGCCTCTAGTCAAGCCATGTCATTTTAGAGATGCCCAGAGAGATGAATTGACCCCACATTAGAGTAACAAAATGAATTTAAAAAAAATATTAAAGTCAACAAAAAGAGATTGTGATTCAGTACCAGGTAGACTAGTGAATCCTATTGTTTTGGCCAACTAAAACAAGTTAATGAACTTTTGTTTTCATTAATCATTTTTAAAAATAAAATTTTGTAACTTTGGTTTTTTGTCACCCACCTTTCCCAATGTATCCCAGCCCTCACCCCTCCCAAAGAACCATTCCTTATAACAAAGAATAAAAGAAGCAAAAAACAAAATTAGCGAGACTCACAGCATTTAAAATAGCCATTTTAAAAATGATCCTAATTAATCTTAATAAATTTTGATACATAAAATTTTTGGTGTCCCTAGAGGTAAACTTTTTTTTAAAGTATTGATTATAAAATTAATCTCTTTTCTAAGAGACTTAATGGTAATTATCTCTCTGATTTACCTATCAGTGTAAAAAAAAAAACAGAAACAAAAACAAACTTTTTTTGTCTTCTCCCATTGAAAGATACATTATCTAAAAATTCCTACCAACCCCCTGTAACTCCAAGGCTGCTCCTGAAGTGTCTCCTCATGAGCTATTTGTTTTCCCTCTTGGTCTTAATGCTTTTTGGTCATTTGGCTGCTTGGTAGCCATTCTAGCAATTAGTCCACAAAGGCAAGGAGAGAAAATGAAACTACTGAACAAGTCAATCTGTAACTCATTAGCAGCTCTGAAATGTCTATTAAGGAAGAAGATGGAAATTAGTGGTTTTCATTACACTTGAAAATTATTGACCAACAAGCAAGTCCTCTGACTCCAAATCCTGTGCCCTCAGTTACCTCTTTTGCTTCGTATATTATGTAGTACTATCCAAATGAAAGCCATTAAATCTTAAGTAATCCACTAGGATGCAGTGTAACTAAGCTGGTAGAAAATGCATCTTAGCTCCCTTAAGTCACACAAAATCTATTTATAATTATTAATATATGATTTTTCATATAACATGTTAATATCATTGTTTCTCTTTACAGGGGTAGGGTGCCTAAAGCCATTCGTACAGGAAGGCTTTTCAATCACCCCATATCGAAGTGTATATGACATTGGAGATACCATCAAACTCACCTGCCCCCATGGCTTTGTCATTACTGGGCCACCAAATTACACATGTGGGAAAAAATCTTGGGAGCCAGCTGTTTCAAGTTCACTCACTTGCACACGAGGTTAGTACCCTAGCCATGAGCCAAATCAGTGACATAGCACTGACAGCTTGTTTTCCTTAAATGTGCTTCTGTGGAACATGCATGATTGGTGCATAATGCAGAATGGCAGTGTGTACCGGCCGCGCCGACCTTGTGCCGGCCATGCCGTACACTCTCCTCCTATAAAGAGCAGGCTGCCAGAGTCATACTTACTTACCAGTCTTCGGTGCCTACCCGGATACACACACAGAGACGATCCATCAGGAGGCTGCCAACACCCGAGCTTTATTCAGAGGCCATCACAGCAAACCATCACAGCAAGGCCAAGCAGGAAGGCCAGAGCAACAGAGCAGGAGCAAAGAGAGCGCGCTCCCGACCACGACCGTTCCTCAGAACCTACTTAGCCCCTCCTCCTCAGCCCGCCTACTAGTCAATGATTGTAGGGTCAGATACTGGAAGGGGCTGTCTGAGTTTAGCGCACCAAGGGAGAGGGAGTGACACAGGAGGCTAGGACCGGATACAGGAAGGAGGCGTCTGGGATTAGTGCATAGACAAAGTACGTGACCTAGGAAATCAGGCTCAGATAGCGGGAGGAGGCATCTGGGGTCAGTGCTATACAAAGGGAAGGTACGTGACCCAGGAAGTCAGGAAGGACACAGGAAGGAGGCGTCTGGGGTTGACGTTGCATATAGGGAGGGGACTAAGCAAAGGGAACTCGTCCTCTGCCGTCCCACTCCCACGTGGCACCGCCCCTTGCCTCAGGAGCGCATGCTCTGGCTACTTCCTTGCACCCAGCTTATCTCACATAGCACTGCCCACTGCCTCAGGGCTTCTCCGTATCCAGCCCATCCCAGTTCACCACAACTCCACCTACCGCAGCCCCTGCCTCGACTTCTAAATACCCAGATTCTACCCCAATCTTGCCACAACGTCCACCTGGCAGTAGTCAACATCAGACAGTCCCTCACAGCAGTGTATATTTCATATGCATATATACATAGAGTATATATGTGTGTGTGTGTGTGTGTGTGTGTACATAAAGTGTGTATATATACACATGTATATATAAAGTGTGTATATTTTATGTATGTATATATATGCATATATAGACATATATATGTGTGCATTAATTATGTATACAACAGCTAGATAGCTTAGAGGATAGAGCTCTGAGCCTGGAGTCAAGAAGACCTGAGTTCAAATTTGAACTCAGATATTTAATAGCTGTGTGATACTGGGCAAGTCACTTAATCTCTATTTGCCTAATCTACGAGACAAGAAAATAGCCAACCACTCCAGTATCTTTGCCAAAAAACCCAATGGACAGAGTGGCTCATGAGGTCACTAAGAGTCAGACATGACTGAATGACTAAACAATAACAACAACAAAAGCTGGGAAAGAAAAAAATGATTGGTTGGAATCTTGGCCATAGAGGGTATCTCTTTGGTTTTCCCTTGGATCATAGGATTTAGCTAGAAGGTATCCTAGAGAGCATAGGATCATAGTGATACAGCTGAAAAGGGTTGTCTATTCAAACTCACATTTTCTATATAGCAAAATGGAAGCCCAGAAACATTAATCAACTTGCCCAAGGTACTACAAGAAATAAGTAGCAGAGCTAAGATTCAAAGCCAGGCCCTTCAACTTCAAAGCCTGTGCTCTGCCTACTGCACCAGTTGGCTTTAATGGCATTTCATATTTGATGGCAGCCAGGAGCACCCAGTGCCCTCCATTTAACTTCTAAATCAACTTAGAATTTGTCCCATACCTATTGAATTATTACATGGATAAATTCCTTGAGTAAAAGGATGGTTCTGAAGTCATAAACACTCAACCCTCTACCTAACATTAATTATTTTTTCTTCTTTGGCTTGGTCTGAAGTTTCTAACATACTTTAACAGAGTTCCCTATGTCATTATTCTCTTTTAACATGACTTTGTTTTGTTTGTCCTTCCTTCCCTTCCATGATCTATAGCAATGTGTTTTGGCTTCTAGAGAGGAAATACGTTTTCATCTAGTTTGTACCTAGAATAGCAAAATAAGCAAAACTCTTGAGTCCTACCATTCCTTGCTCACAGACCAATTCCACTTGTGAACACTGAAATAAATTGCCATTGTATACTGGAATTTCAATCACTAGAACCAGGCTTGGACATGAAGGAACTTTCAGATATAACATATTATTTTAGCCTATTGTCAGTGCCAGAAATGGGTATAGAATTTACCTTATAATCTTATCATCATTGCGTTCATATCCAGAACTCAAAGGGTAACCTCCAAGTAAAAGTTGTATACAGCCCATCTACCCAACTTCCCAGTGACTTCATCTACCCCCACTGATAGACGTCTCTCATAGAAGAGCAGTGCATCTAAGTAAAACAAACTAGCACGTTATTGGGGAGGGGGTGGTTTCAGAAAGAAATATGGTGAGACCTGTATGAACTGATGCAAAGTGAAGTGAGAACCAGGAAATCATTGTATAGAGTAACAATGTAATTGTTGTAATGGTAATTACTGTAGATTTAAAAAGAATGATAATCAAGTACTAAAGACTTGAATACTCTGATCAATACAATGACCCAAGACAGTTCCAAAGGACTCATGATGAAAAAATGCTATTCACCTCCAGAAAGAGAATTGATGAACTCTGAGTGCAAACTAAAGTATAATTTTCTCATTTTCATTATTTTTTTTCCTTTTTTGCAATGTGGCTGATAAGGAGATGTTTTGAATGAGTTCACATATATAATGGCATCATTTTGCTTGTCTTCTCAGTGGATGAGGGGGAGTAGGAGGGTGGGAAAGAATTTGGAACTCAAAAATAAAAAGAAATGAATGTTAAAAATAAACAAATAATAAACTTATAAAAAATTAAAGGAAAAGCAGCACTTTGAAGTCAATTGATTACTGCATAGAGTCTTCATGTCTTTCATTTGTTTGTTCCAGATGTTCTGACCCACATGAGCAATTGTGGACCTGGACGTAAGTTAGTGGAATCCCAATGTGTTTGCATGTCTCCAGAAGATGACTGTAGGTAAGATGCTACATGGACCATGTTTTGAAATTTGACAAGACCATTCAATGCTATATGAATGGCCATTTGTAAATTTAAAGTCATAAGTTAAAGGATAAAATTACCTAAGACCTCTTTCCAAAGCTGAAGGACTAAAACAATATATTTCTTTTTAGAGCTTATGAGATCCCGTTAGTCTGAATTCCTTCCTTCCATGGGTTTTTTTTTATACTTCCTTATTTTGCATAAGGCCTTTTATTGTTAGCCACAGTCTTAATCAGCATATTCAACAACCTACAACTTGAATACTATGACATCAGAGTTAGCAGGGTATAGTAGAAAGAAAATAGACTTAGAGTCAGAAGAGAACTGGGTTCAAATCCCATCTCTAATACTTCCTAGTTGTGTGATTATGGGCAAGTCATTGGGATCATAAGCCAAAAGATGATAATGTTAGAGAGTTGGAATAGACTTTAGAGGCCATCAAGACCAATGCCCTCATTTTACAGATGAAGAAATCGAGGCCCAGAGAGATTAATTGACTTAACCAATTAAGTGCTTAAGGTAGCATTTGAAGCCAGGTCTTCCTGACTACAAGTCTATGGCTATATCCACTATATATACCATGCTAGTTATACGTCTTTAATCCTTTCCAATTCTCTGTTTCCTGATCTGTATGTGGCACTTATGTGACCCACAAAATACTATCAAGTTCAAGGTACATTGTATAGACATGAGTCAGTATATGCTCAAGATCACTAATTATGAGCCCCCACCAATGTATTTCTCCTTACCAGAGAATCAGAAGACATATTACCCTCAAACAAAAAATATTTAAGACCATAGAAATACAGGTGATAAGAAACATTATAGATACACACAAGAATACACTCTCCCATGCATTGCCATGCTACCAGTTGGGGAGACAACATTTGTGAACACAAAGGAAATATGTATGACTGGGGTAATCAAGTGACAAGGGCCACTTATACTTATGGAGCTGTTGATTTCTCCTGCAATGTTTCTAATGCCTTCTGGTAATGTCTTCTAGAGAGCTACTTTTTTCTGCTGAGCTGGGATCTTCTGCTACCTTATTTTCTCATGCTGTTCACTATCCACTGAGTTTTCTCTTTACTGTCCTCCACTGGAATCTCTAATGAACTGCTCTTTGCTACTCTTTACTGATCTTCAGTTGCTGTGCCACATCTTCTCTGGAAGAATGGTTCTATAAGTTCTTGTATATCATAGATTAACACTTTTGAAGTTTTGGACTCTAGATAACTGGATTAATTTAGTTAGCTAGGGATTCATTTAGCTAGCTAGGGAAATCCTTAGACATTTAAGTATATCTTTTGGTATCCTTTTCTTCTGCTACCTTTGGAGGTTCTCTCATTCTAAACTCTTATCAAAGGAATGATATGAAATTCCTTTTAACCCCTTTCATAATCCAGTCACAAGCCTGAGTCTTCTTCAAATCATTTCATGGACTCCACTTAGCAAAACTGCAAAGAAGATTAATGGACATAGCATGAGGGAATTCCTTTCAATATCATCAAGCCTCTAATTGCTATGAAAATCAAACCAGGACCAAGAATTAAAAGAGCTGTATGGGCCTAGTGGAGCTAGTGACTTTTGACCTATTTCCCATCAGTAACCTAATTCACTGTATGACACTGATGGACACTGATGATAATAGTATTTACCTTACAGGGTTGTTGTAAGGATTAAATGAAATAAATTATATATCATGCTCGTTCATATACATTAATCACTCATACATTGAAGAATGGCTCTTGTTCTTATCTACTTGTTTCTGGTCTTTGGATATCAAAACTTTATCAGAGATTTTTGCTGTTAAAATTGTTTTCCCAATCAACAGCTTCTCTTCTTATTCTAGCTACACTGGTTTTGCTCACGTAAGCTTAAGAAAAATTTTTGTAACTTAAAGTTTATCACTCCCCCCCTTTCTTAATTTCTTCTAGACATAATTGTGTGAGGTACTTCCTTCCATTTCTCTCTAATTTTTTGATGATGTGATCTTCTCTATTTAGATTGTATATCCATTTGGAACTTAATGTGGCATGTGTGATCTAAGCTTATTTTCTGCAAAACTCTCTTCCAGTTTTCTCAGAAAATCTTATCCAAGAAGAAAATCTTACCTCAGTAGTTTGTGATTTTGGGTTATTATCAAACACTAGGCTACTGTTTTATTGCTTTGGGGTCTTGCTTGTCTAGTCTCTTCCATTGGTCAACTTTTCTATTTTTTAACCAATACCAAAGAGGTTTGATGATTACTCTTTTACAATATAGTTTGAGACTTGGTCATGTTAAGTTTCATTTTTTCCTATTTTTTTCATATTATTTCCCTTGAAATTCTTGATCTTTTGTCCTTTCAAATGAATTTTGGTATTATTTTGCCTAATTCTATATATTAAACCTTTGTTGGTTTCATTGGTATTATGTCAAATCTAAATTTAGGTACAATCATTATTTTTATTATGTTGATGTGACCTCATCACAAGCAATGAATGTCTAATGACTTAAGAGAAGAAGTCTCTAATATCCCATTAGAAAGTCCATATAGTGACACAGGAAAAGTAAAATAACTGAATACTTTATTATCTATAATGAAACATCAAACGAATGGTATAGCCAAAAAGTGCTTAAGAAGTTCATGCGAAGAAGTAACCATCTTAGACTAGAGTAGTCAGTGGAGGTTTCATAAAGGAGGTGGGACTTCATTCAGTATCATCTTTGTAAGATACATGTATTGTAGTCCAGAAAGGACAGAATATGTATAGGCAGAGAGAGATCACAGTCAATAAAGCTGGAAAGCAAATTGAAGTCAAATTATAAATGGCATGTTCTGAATGCTAGGCTAAGAAATTCAGACTTTATTGTCTAGGCTTCAGGGAGCCACTGATCGCTTGTAAGCATGGGAATGTCATGGTGAAAATACTGTTTTAGAAAGATTAATATGGCAGCCATTTGTGAGAAAGATTGGAGTGGGGCAGATGCTGGCAGCAGAGGGACCAATTAGAAGTTGATATCATCATTCAGCAGTGGGATCTCCTTGTCTATCTTTGTCCTCCTCTTTTCTTTAGATAAACATGTTATTTTTTTTCTCCCTTTACAGTCATTACTCAGAAGATCTCTGTGTATTCAATTCAGACTCCAACCATTACTTTACCAAACCCAGCTGCAATTTTTTGGCAGAGAAATGTTCAAATACCCAGAAATTACATTTCTTATCTGTTGGATCCTGCCAGGATGGACCTCAGTTGGAACAGGCCATTGAAAGAATAAAGCTTTCATTTGATAGCACAAAGAAGGAACCCTGTGGCTATGACACATGCTATGATTGGGAAAACTGTTCAGGTGAGATTCCATTGATTAAGTGCTTTTATTACCTGTATATTGGTACTCTCAGTAAGAATATTTACCCATGCATTGTGTGCTATTGTTATTTGTATTCACCCATCTGTTCTACTTAAAGAAAAGTCTCATAGTGAGGTAGCTTTGTCCTTGAATGGATTCATACTGTGAAAATATTCACTTTATTTCATAGAATACACAGAGGTGGGTTACAGGGGTGTCAGCAAGATCCAAATATAGAGATAGGCTTTCCCCATATGGAATGTTTTATTTTTTAAAAATTTAATATATATTATTATTTATTTTGATAAATATTTCCCAATTATGCATAAAAAATTTAACTTTTTTTTTTAATTTTGAGTTCCAAATTCTGTCTCCCTCTCACCGCTCCCCGAACCCTTGAGAAGGCAAGCAATATATCAATTATATATGTGAAGTCATGCAAAATAAATTCATATGCAATAGTTTCAAATGAATCACTGAAACTTAGGCTCAAGAAATGTTTTTAAAACTTTACAATGCTGATCAAAGTTAGGCTCCATGTCTTAAGTTACCTCTCATTTCTTCTTTTTGCTTCCTATTTTTCTCCTCCAAGCAGATATCTTTCAGCTCAGTGTGAGGCTACAGAAGAGAATAGGCAGGTGCCAAAGTCCAGTTCACATCTGACATAGCTAGAGCAGACCATCTAGCTCCAACTCCTGTAATCAGTCCTGTGATTAAGCTGAAGGTCAAAGGGCCTTCACAGATGGACATTGTCAATGGGCCAATTTTTATGGCAGCAAATGAGGAAGTCAACACCTGGTGTTGGTTACCCATGAGCCACATTTAATCCATGGCTAAACAGTGGTTAGGACAGTGGGACAAATATGAGCTTTACCCACCCACTCAGAATAAAGCCATCTGTTAGTTGAAAATGGAATCTCAATGCATGCGTCAAGTCCTATATTATTTTTAATAAAATCCATCCTAGGGACAAATACTGGGGGAAAGAAATTACTAGGACATATGGAAAATCTTTCTAACAATTAGAGTCATCCAGAAATGAAATCAGTTCCCCCAGTAGGTAGAGTTCCCTGTTGCAAATGTGGGCCTACATATGAAGGATAACTTGGAGGGGATTCCTGCATTCAACAAGGGTTGGAATGGATGACCTCTAAGTTCTCTTCCAACTCAACAATTCTTTTATTTTGAATATTATTCAACATTATTTTGCATTTTATATGCAGCTATTTTTCTTCACAGATGCTGAATGATCTTGGAACGTTATCTTGAAAAGTATACAGGGAGAGAAAAGGTTGTTGGATAGCATAAGATGTTCCAAATGCTCTCTGAGTAGGCTATGAGGTTCTAGGCAGGTCAAGCATTTGATGCTATGTTCAGTGAGTTATCTTCCATTCCTACTCATCCCATTTATCATTGAGCAAAAGTCTTTGTGAAGTTCTCTGATTGAAAAGAATTTTCTTTTGCTTTCTTTATCATGAATTATTTTTTTCAGTTCTGTCTAAGTGAAAAATCTTCTCCACTATAAAATTCTATCAAAATGTTTGTATTTGTTATTACTTCTTCTGTAATACCTGTATTGAAATCTCCACAGATTTCAAGAGTTGACATATTTTCAAAAAAGAACTCCAAAGTTCATATACCTTTCTATTGTTTATCCAAATTAACAGAATGTCCTGGGGCTATCAAAGTGGGCCAGAGGGCTTTCCCAAGAACTTTAGTCTGAGTGTTTTGCAATGTTCTGATCCTTGATACAAACATAAAGTAGAAAGTATTTTCACCCTGAAATCTTGTCTGCTGGTGCCAATCTTGCTTAACTGGTTTATGTCACAGACTACACTTCTTGGTAGTGCCTGGCAAAGAACAACATCAATATGTTTGCTTTCCCATCAATGTAGTCCCTGGCTTAAAAAAAGAAAAACACCTAGACCCCTTCCTTTTCTCAGTGGCTTTTCTTTTGGCCACAACAAGCTAAATGATCTTAATTATGATTTGAATTAAATCTTTTCTTGATTAACTTGGGGGTCTTAATTATATCACATACTTTGCTGCAGTCTTGCCTCAATCACAAAATGATATCAGGAAAATCACAAAATTTACTTTTAAGAAGTAATCATAATGGTTCCCTCCCACCCCTCATTCACCACAGAATCATTTTTATAAAGATAAAATGTTATATCTACGCTGCATGAATGTCCATTACCAAGTAAATGAGAACATTTATTAGTTCAACATTTATTCAATAAAAATGTATCCAGTACCTATTATTTGCAACTCCAAATCACTCTGTTGGGTAATATGAGGGAGACAGAAATGAGAAAAGATAAAATCCTCATCGTCATGGAGATTACACTTTAGTTAGAAAGACACATCCAGAAATAGTATAAGAAAAGACAGATGTACCAAAGGGGGAGTACAAAGCACAGAGTTGGTCCAGTCATTTCTGGCTGGGGGGATGTGAGAAGGCTACCTGAGAAAGGAGTCTTTGAGCTAGGCCATGGAGGACAGCTAGGACAGAGAGGCACCAGAAGATGAGGAGGTTCTAGTTGTCTAGTATGAATGAAGCACAGCCATGCCATCTATGGATGTTACTATCATAGCACTTGTGGCAGGGATATAACCCCATGGTGAAAGGGACTCCTTTGAGGAAACAACATTCTTCCCTTCTCCATTCCCCATCTGCTGTCCTCATGGATAAGCCTCATACTGTTCCTATCCTACCGAGGGTCCTTCTGGCCAGGTGGAAAAATGACAAAAGAGGAACAATGTGGACTGATGGAGACAGGAAATTGGGTTCAATTGCCATGGGGAGAATTGAGGAGATTATTAAGAACTACTGTATCCTCTGCTGATACATCCTGGGAAAAGTATGGGCCTCGAGCTGCTGGTACCTGTGACAATAACACATAGAATTGGAGGCCCAGACCTTTGGGTCCAGCAGGTCTTGGGCTGATGCCATCATAACAAGGGTGACAGGGCTGAGAATGAACTTGGAAGACTTCTAGTGGCACATGTGCTCTTGCCCCTTGCTGAAGGGCAGAATCACAGAATCAGACCATTTGAAAATTAGAAGGGACCACAATGGTTGTCTGTTGAACCCTGGCTCAGTCACCAGTCTACTTCTACACTTTCCCCTTTCCCCTAGGGTCTCACTACTGATTACATCCTTTAACAAGCGGCAGAGCCCAGGTATGTGTTCAGTCCTCTCACCCTCGTTACACCATCGCCACCTAAGTAGCCTCTTGGCTCCAGTCTCTCCCCACCCCAATTTATGTTTCATTTCACCTCCACACAAATCTTCCAAATTGAGGCTACTGTTATGCCACTCTTTAGCTCCCAAGCCTTCAATGGCTCCTTATTGTTTATAGGAGAAAGACGGAGATTTGTGGACTATTAGGGCTGGAAATGACCTTACAGATGCGCTCTACCACCTCATTTTACAAATGAGGAGCCAGATGTCTCTGAGAAGAGAAGTGACTTGTCCGAGGTCATGTATGTGTATCTCCTCACATACCTCTCAAATCTACCCAATCTAAGGAAGGACATAGTGTTCTGAATGTGTTCGTTTCCAGTCCCACTAGCTTTTTTTGTCAGCGTGGAGTTATTTAACTCTAGGTTATCCAACATATACTTTTTCTGTGTAGTAAACTAGATTTCTTAAATTCTGGATATAAAATCTATTAATCAACAAATAATTATGAACACTGATTTTGTACAAGGGACTTTGTTTAATGCTTGGGCACAGGGAAGGTGAAAGTATAACAAGGAGTTAAGATCAATTCTCTTCCTTCAAGTTGCTAAATGTAGTTGTGGGAAATTACAATGCACACATTTGAAAGTTAACTAACATTATAAAATAATCAAGTGTCAAATGGTTGACACAGACAGTAAATTAGAGAAGCTCAGGAAAAGGAGGGATCTCCCTGTGCTTTGGGAAAAATAGTTGAAGAAAACTATCTGGAGGGGAGGAATTGAACTGGGTCTTGAAGGATGGGTGGGATTTGAAGAGTCAGGGAAGGGGGAGGAAGTGCTTTGAAGATAGGGGACAGAGTGAGAATCACATAAACACATATGAGAAGTCAGGACTATTCATGGCATGCTGACTGGAAGACAAAGGATAGTCTCATTAGCAAGGACTGTTTATATAAAGGAACAGAGGGAAATGAAGTTGAAAGGGTAGTTTGGGGCCAACTATTAGATGGTCCTGAATATTAAGCCAAAGGGAGAGAGAGAGACAGAGAGAGACACAGAGACAGAGACAGAGAGATGATGATGATGATGATGGAGATATGATAGATAAGACATAGAGATAGCTAAAGGGAGAGACAGAGAGAGAGAGACAAAGACAGAGAGATGGAGACAGAGAGACAGAGAAAGAAAGAAAGAGAAACAGAAAGAGAGAGAGACAGAGACAGATATTATGATAATGATGATGATTATGATGGCGATGATGGAGAGATGATAGATAAAGAGATAGTGATAGCTAAAAGGAAGAGAGACAAAGAGATAGAGACAGAGAGACAAATGAGAGAAAGAAAGAAAGAGAGAATTTATCAAGCATTTATTATGTGCCAAGCACTGTGCTGTTAGCACCTAAGATACAAATATGAGGAGGAAAAAAAAAAGACAGTCCCAAAACTCAAAAATCTTACTTTTTTGTAGAAGAAAACAACATATAAAACGGAGCTAAAAGGGGAGGAAGCAGGTAGGAAGTAGAGGAAGGCCACTGGAAGTAGAGCAAGACAGAAAAATCCAGAATAAGGAACAGAGAGCCAAGAGTGAAGACACAGCCTGGGAACCTCATGAAGTGATGATCCAGGCCAGGGACTCACTAGTCAGAAGAGAAGGCCACATATTAAAGTAAATGAAACTGAGCTTCCAAGAATTACTTTTCACAGGGGCAAGGTGTGAGTGTATTTTAAGACCAAATCTGTGATTTTATTGGTATTGGGAACTTTTAAATAAGAAGATTTCTTCTACCAATGTCCATTGGCTTCTGTTATGCCATTTATAATCTTAGGATGCTTTATCCATGAAGTGTTTTTCCATAGAATAAAATTACGTTAAACTATTTCATAAGCAAGTACTTAACACGAATCATGAACCTTACATTACAATAAGCTTCCTGAGGGCAGTACCCATGCCTTTTACCTTACTGGTTTTCTCTAACTGTGCTGGGGATATCTCTGGAACTTAAAAAAACGAACAAACCTATTTCCTTGACTTGACTAATTATATCAAATGACCATCTGGCTAATTATACTCTGTAAAAATGACTTGATTGTTCTAGTGCCCCTTTTTTGGAAGCCCTCTCTCTAATCTTTTCTTTGTTATCTACCTCCCAACAAAGTGGGATTCTGTATTGAATAAGTGGAAATAAAAAGTCTCTGTCTTCCCTCCCTCTGGAAGGAGCACATTAATTATGTCAGTTTCAACCTGACATCTCTTCACTACACCTGACGTTTACATTTCATAATTTCCAAGGAAATGAGTGTTCTGTCCACATTTAAGTGCATTGCCCCACAGCCTTTTGTGTTCATGCAAAGTCCCTGAGAGAACAGGGTGTCAACATCGTTGTGTGACTTTATCATTTATTCCACAATCCGGGGCAAAAGCGATGAGTTTTCTTGTAAATTTGTAAACCGTTTCTTGGCTGCCACACACAGTATGTTAAGCCAGTCTGCCATGAAAGATACAGCCAGACGTCACCCTCCCCACTGAGAGGGAAGAAGACAGAAATCCAGATGTGTTAGACTAGAGACACTCCAGGTGGCAGCCTTCGTCTCTGTTTTTATTCTGTAAATTAATGGAAGAATTTTCTTTTCAATTAAACATCTGAGGTGAAAATTGCTCTAATTGAGACAGCTAAATGGAGCAGTAGATTTAGTGCTGGAACTGGATTCAGGAAGACCAAAGGTCAAATCTGGCCTTACACACTTGCTAGCTTTGTGACCCTGGATGAGTCACTTAACCTCTGTCTGCCTCAGTTTTCTCATCTGTAAAATGGGGATAATAATAGTACTTACCTTGCAGGGTTGTTGCTAGGACCAAGTGAGATAATAATTGTAAAACACTTAGCATAGTTCCTGGTACAGAGTCAGTGTTATGTAAATATTATTATTATTAGTAGCTATTAATTCCTAGACTTTAACCAAGTCCTCCTCTTCTCCAAAATTGTCCACATACCTTTTCTGATCATCCTTTTGGCTGTTCTCAGCTAGCTCTAGAAGAAAAACAAAGCTTATGTTTGAGGCCTGAGCTTATAGTATAATAATAACTAACAACAGTCACAATGACTAAACATGTTATAGTCCTACAAGGTGCTTTACATATGCATATTTTAAGCTATTAAAGCTGAAATCTTTTCGTTATTAAAACTTAAAGCTGCACTAAGATTTTTGGGACACCTTGTATTGTCCCATTTGTTTCTCACAACAACTCTGTAAAGTAGGCACTATTAATATCTCCATTTTGCAGATGAGAAAACTGAGGCTGAGAGAGGAGCAAATTAACAAAGTGCGATGAGGGAGGAGGAAGAAGAGATACTTTATCTTCCCTTTCTTGACAAGAGTAATGCCATTTTAGAGGCAGCTAGGTGGTGCAAAAGTGTTGGACTGGTTGCAAAATCAGGAAGAGCTGAGTGCAGATCATGCCTCTCATACCTCCTAGCTGTGTCACCCTTGGCAAGTCACTGAAGCTCTCTCAGCCTCGGGTTTCATAGGACCTACCCACACACAGGGTTGTGGAGTTGATGAGATGATATGTAAAAAGTGTTTTGTGAACCTCAAAATATAATATACACGCTAGCTATTATTATTTTTTAATAAGCCTCTTTTTCAATGCAAATAATAAGGCATGTCTAATTCCTATGTTTTTTTTTCCTTACTTTACCCTAGTTCTTGTGCAAAGTTAGCTAAAAGACAAAGTCCAGTCTTTGATGGTCATTTCTACACCAACAACTAACCAGCATTTTAAGAAAGCTCTGCCCCTTCCCCGAAATGCAACAAAGTGCTCCTGAGGCCAGTACCAGGCAGCATGACTACGGGTTTTCTGCCTCCAAAATGACATCATTCATGTCAAGGGAGAAAAGATACAGCAACACCTCCCACCCCACCCCCACACTGCCACATTTTATTAATTTGTGACAAGAGCTGTTACTTTCTCAGCCTGGTTCTGAGAAATGGGAATAATTTGTTAAATTAATTTTACATCTGTAAGATGGGAGTAATAATAGTATCTACCTCAGAAAGTGTCTCAAAGATCAAATAAGGTAATATATGAAAAGCACTTTGTAAAACTTAAAATATTATGTAAATGTTAACTATTGCTATTATTATTGTTATTATCATTATCATTATTTTGATATAACTTAAGGTCTCAAAAATAGTGAGGGGGAAATCTTCCTTTATCTCTCTTCTAGAGTGAATTGACAACAATCACACAGAATGCTAAGGGAAAAAAAAATGTGTTGACAATTTCATTGAGATGTATTTGCTCTAAGAACCTATGGGAAATGACCCATATTCCAATGCCTACTTGCCCCATAGAGACTCCTTTCTCTGTGTAATAAATAGTATTCCTCCATAACTTGGCTTGAAACTCTAGACAGAATAAAACCCTTTTACTTATACTAGGGTGTATGGAGTGGTGTTCAGGGAGGACTAGCATCTGTGGTGTGAGGGCTTGTTGAGCCCTTTTCAGGACTGCTCACCCATCTGATGCCCACCTGATTCACCCAATTCTCACCTAGATATAGATAGATAATTATATTTCAATATAAATGGTTTCCTTCATATCCTATGTATTTTGTTTTATACATTTGACACCCATAGGGTTCACCAGACTGCCAGAGGGGTCCATGATACAAAAAAGGTTAAGAATCCCTGACTGAGAGGGTCATTATTATATACTGTCATACCTTTCTAAGGTAGTTATTATGTATTTATGGTTATCTGTATGTAGAGGGTTAAGGAGTTTAGTAGGATTTGAGATTAACTAGTAGCTGGAGGTCAACTAATTGGGGACCCCTTATCTAAATTAATCACCAGTAGTTCAACGAACTAAATTACTCCTAGTTGACTGCAACAAACATGAAGACAGAAATTGTATCTTATCTAAACTTTGCATCTCTCTGGTTACTCTAGCTTAGAATAATAATTGATCACAGTAGTTATTTTATAGTATTTGTTTAGTTGAACTGAATAATAGTCATATTGAGGAGCTAGGTAATCTGGAAAAGAATTAGATGAAAACAGTTTCTTAAGGTCTGTGGCAAATAACATCCTCTCCTTTTTCAGCCTCCACATATACATGTGCCTGTCTGATGCCCTACCAGTGCCCCAAGAGTGGAAAACAAGACTATTGCATCAGAATAGGCTCTTCAAAGACTGAGAAAACAATGAATAGCTGTGTGCTGGGAGCACTAAATTGTGCCCAAAAGAAGGTGGAAATAGTGCATCGTGGACGATGTATTGCCTGATGGCCTGAGGCAAAAAAAAAAAAACAGCACTCAAGAAAATAGACAAGAACACTTAGAAGACCTATTTGTTTGGAGCTCATTGGGTGGATGGATCTAAAATTTACTCCCTAAAAATGTTTTTTTGTACTTTTTACACAAATAAAAGCAGATCTAAATAATTGGAAAAATACTAATTGCTGGTGGATAGACTGAAACAATATAATAAAAATGACAATGCTACCTAAATAATTTACTTATTCAGTGCCATATCAATCAAACTACTAAAAAATCATACAGCTTGAAAAAATAGTTTAAAATTTCATTTGGAGGAACAAAAGGTCAAGAATATCAAGGGAATAGATAAAAAAAATGAGAAGGAAATGGCCCTAGCAGTATCAGACCTTAAACTATGCTACAAACTGTAATTGTCAAAACATTTTGGTTATTAGTAAGAAATAAAGAGGATGATCAGTGGAATAGATTAGGAGCACAATCTTAGAAGCAAATGAACACAGGAATCTAGTGCTTGACAAACCCAAAGATACCAGCTATTATGGCAAAAACTCACTATTTGACAAAATTGTTGGAAAAACTGGAAAATAGTTCAGCAGAAACTAGGCATAGACCAACATCTCAAACCATGTACTAAGATAACCTCCAAATGGATACAAGATTCAGACATAAAGAGTAACATTGTAAGTAAATTAGAGGAGCATAGAAGAAATTACCTAAAATCTATGGATAGGGATAGAGTTCATGATTAAGAAAGAGTTAGAGAAGTTCACAAGGGTAAAAATGGATAATCCTGATTACAAATCTTTTTTTTAAATTTTGTACCAACAAAACCAGTGCTGACAAAATTAGAAGAGCAGCAAGAAATGAGGGTGAAAATCTTTCCAGCAAATTTCTCTGATAAAAGTTTCATTTTTAAGATATATATTTAACTGATTCAAATTTATAAAAGTAAGAGTCATTCCATAAATGATAAATGGTCAAAGGATATAAACAGGAAGTTTTTAGAGGAAGAAATCAAAGCTATCAATAGTCACATGGGAAAAATGCTCTATATCACTAATAATTAGAGAAATATAAATTGAAACAACTCTGAGGTACAATCTCATATCAGTTAGACTGGTCAAATTGACAACAAAAAGTGATAAATGCTGGAAGGGCTGTGAGCAGACAAGTACTTTCATGCACTTCTGTTGCAATTGTAAACTGGTCCAACCATTCTAAGCAATTTTGAACTATACTCTAAAAACTATTAAACTGTGTATACCCTTTGACCTAGTGATATTGCCACTAGACCTATCCCCCAAAGAAATCAAAGTAAGATGGAAAGGATCCATATGCACAAAAATATAGCAATTCTTTTTGTGGTGACAAAGAATTAGAAATTGAAGGGGTGCCAACAAATTGGAGAATGGATGAAGAAGTTATGGAATATGAACATGAGGGAATACTATTGTGTGTAAGAAATGATGAAGGGGATGGTTTCAGAAAAATCTGGGAAAACTTGCATGAAATGATGCAAAGTGAAGTAAGCAGAACCAGGAAAAATATTTGTACATAACAACAATATTATAAAGACAATCAACTTTGTTTATTTTTAATTTATGGAATACAATAAGCATTTCCATAATACAACACAACAAAAAGATGACTGCGCATGAAACAGCAAATCTGCCATGTACAACTTTGAAAGACTTAGGAGCTTTGGTCAATACAGTGACCAACCACAATTCCAAAGGACTCATCATAAATTATTATCCACTGATATATTCAGGTTACAGATTGAGATGTTTTCTTTTCTTTCTTCTTTCTTCTTTTATTTTTTGGACATGGCTAATGCAGAATTTTTTTTGCATAATTATACATATTTATAATTGGTTTTATCTTTCTTGCCTTCTCAATAAGTGGGGAGAAGAGGAAGGGAGAGAATTTGAAACTGAAAAAATAAATTAAAATATTTTTAAATTGAAGACTATAATAATAAAATAAAACATTGAGTTGTATCTTTGAAGTAAAAAATAAATTAATACTGTACTTTGTGTTTTAGGCCAGTGGTGTCAAATTCATATAGAAATGAGGTTCACTAAATGTCATATAAGAATTCCTTCAGAGGCACATTGACTTAAAAAACATATTGACATTATCTATATTCTATTGCATTTTTATTTATTTTGTTAAATGTGACACAATTACATTTTGAGGTTGTTCAGTCAGCACTTGAGAGTGTTGAAAACCTCCTGTGACCCTTGGGGCTGCATGTTTGACACCTCTATTTTAGGCACATTTTGCCAGAGATAGTTCATATTAATTTATTGTGATTCTAAATATAAGCATTTCTAGTTTAGAGAGAGAAATTCCCAAACTGACATAGACCACACACCCCCACACTCTCAGATACTTCATCCCAAAACAATTTACAGGATTTAAATTAGAAAAAGGTCACAATGTGTTTAAAAATTGAGGGGGGGGTTGAATGATACAGAACAATAGTCATTTGATCTTCTATTCAAATCAATCCCTTCTTTTCTTGATCACTCTCCTCAAGGACAAAGATCAGTCAATTAGAATAGGATCAATAGCTCAAACCTTGAATGGAAAAGAGACCTTAGGTAGGGCTGGGAAGCCCTGATCTTAACTAGACCAAAGTTTGGTTTCCATCCTAAATCCATTTTGGGGTACCTTATCCTTTGTTCTTGACCTTTTACACATTTGCCTAAAGGGAAAAGTCTGGAAAGGACTTGTTCTGGAGAAAATAATTCTTCACATTTCCAGTTAAACTAAAACATGAGTTTTAACATGCTTCCACAGTATGTAACAAAGTTTTGTAGTGCTGTCTCCCCTCATCCTCTCATTCTCTCTCAATCTCTCTTTGTCCCTGTCTCTGTGTCTCTCTGTCTCTTTCCCTCCTTCCCTCTTGCTAGACTGATTCTCCTTGTTCATTTAATAAAACAATTACCCTGAGTTAAAACTATGACATTCTAGATCTGATGATCCAATAACAATCATAATGTTTGGGCTTTTCATAGTTAGACATAGAATGGGGACAACTATAATTCTCTTCGATAAACCATAGTAACCCTGGCTTATCCAGTGTCCATTCTCAGATTCAACCCCTAGCCCACTGTCTTAAGAAAAGGAATAATGGGGCAAGTAGGTGGTTCAATGAATACAGTGCTGGGTTTGGAGTCAGAAAGACCTGAGTTCATATCTAGCCTCAGATACTTGTTAGCTGTGCGACCCTTGGCAAACCACTAAACTTCTGTCTGCCTTCATTTCCTCATCTGTAAAATGGGGATCATAATAGCACCTACCTCCCAGAGTTGTTGTAAGGATCAAATGAGATAAAAATTGTAAAGTACTTAATACAGTGCCTGGCATACAGTTAAGTGCTATATAAATGATAATTATTGGTATTATTAGAAATTCTCTGATTGCAATAACCTCAGGGGAAAGCTTATGTCAGGCTCTAAAGTTTCACTGTCCCTAGGTTAGAACACTGCTTCTGTTAGAGTCTTTATGTTGAAAGACAACAGAATTCTGATCAATGCAATGAATTGACACATACTTTCGTTAAGTACCAATTATGTGCCAGGTACTGAGGATTCAAAGTAGAAACGAAATACTTTCTGTTCTCAAGGAGCTTATATCCTATTGGAGGAAACAACGTGTGCATATAAAATAAATATAAGGTTAATTTAGGGGAAGGGCACTAGCTGGTGGAGAATTAGCAAAGGCTTCATATAAAAGGTGGGTGGGAGCTGGCTCTTGACGAGGAATAGGGATTCTAAGGGAGAAAGGGTTGAGAAGTAAATGCATTCCAGGCATGAGGTAGACAGGAAACGGAGCAGTGCTATATACAAAAATAGTTAGAAGGCAATTTGACTAGCCCCTAGTGAAATATCACACTGAGTAATGCAAAATTAGGTAAGAAAGGTAGCTTAGGGACAATCTTCATGGACTGATGGTGAGATGTTTTCTTTCTTTCATTGGTGCGATAGTAAACTATAGGAACAGAATGTGGCATGTAGTCCAACGTGGTCAATGTAGTGATCTATTTAGCTTAACTATGTTTCTTTGTTCTACTGTGGATGAACTGCTTGGGAAATGATCATTGGAAAGCAATGATCATTGAAAGCATGTAAAAAAGATTTTATTTTAAAAATAGAGGGGTTTCCTTCTCATGTGAAGTTCATTGTGGAGTTATTAAGCAAAACATTAATTTTCATAGTAAGAAAACATGAGAGCTCAAAGTGATTCACATTAAACCTTCCTAGGAATATAACTATTTCCCTTCCCCACCTCACCCCACTCCAGGAATGAGAGCTTTTTAGAGTAAATAGTCTTCCCTTGTTATTTTTGTTGTTCAGTCATTTCAGTTATGTCCAACTCATTGTGACCCTGTTTGAGGTTTTCTTGGCAAAGAGACGGGAGTGGTTTGCTACTCCTTTCTCCAGCTCATTTTACAGGTGAGGAAACTGAGGCAAACAGAGTTTAAATGAATTGCCCAGGGTCACACAGCTAGTAAGTTCTGAGGCTGGTATTCTATCCACTACACCACCTAGCTGCCCCCCTTATTGTTTGGATCATGTAAATAAATCACTTATTCAGAGAGATGGAGTGTCATATTTCGAAGGTGATTACTTTAGCTCAAGGCCCCCTACTAAGATAACCTGATCTACTGGTTGATTTCAAAGACCACTTACTTTCTTAACCCTTGATCTTTTTTTTTTTTGCCACAATCAACAGATTCTCAGGGATCCTGGCTTGGGAGCCAACTTCATCAGTCCCTCCTACCATCACTAACTATGTTCCTTCTCTCTGTCAGCAGTCATACAATTTTGAGAAAACCTAAGGTATTTCTTCATCCAGAAGAGAATAGGAACTCCAGTTGGATGAATGAAGGAAGAATAAAAGACTAGAATCACCATGTGATATACTAGCAAAATATGTCATTTTCTTAAATGAATTCAGGCATTGATTTGAAAGCTGGGTTTGCTTTTGTACCAATTTATTTCCGAAGTTCTACTATTTTTTTTTACTAATAGTAA